CTAACAGGGTCGATCGTTGTCCGCTGGTAAATGTCTGTAGAATCCACCGTAAGCACCATTCATGCGAAAGGTGTCAGGGAGGGTAGTCGTACGGCCCCGTTCAGGTAGTGTCCCCAACCGAATCTCTTCCCAATTGTGAACAATGTGCCAGCCTCGGTCGCTGCTCAGATTTTCGTTTCTCAATATAGGTGGTCCTCGCAAGCTGTAGGGCTTTGATCTTGATTGACTGTATCAGGTACGCGCATGTTAGCGCCAAACAGAGATTGAAGAGCATACACTTGGACGCACATTCTCGTCTATAGCCATGATCGCGGCATGGTATCATGCTAGAGTGGGAGTATTGATCACGATATTGTTCTCCTCGGGATCAGTGGCATGTAGATCAGTTGAAGTGCCGATTATGTATTTCCCGTGGGGCCTAAGACTTGGACCTCAAAGACTACCATCTCGTTGTCGTCTGCAGAAACAGTCGTAAGCCACAACCTGCAAAGGAAAGGAGTAGAGATCCGTAAACTTACTCCCCAATACCGGAAACCCGACTCCTAGTTGGATGTGTTCTCCATTGAAAACTTGATGCCAGTGATTGTCCTCAATTCTCCTTTTTCCAATGAATGTATTCTTGAAAAACTGAGGGGTCCTGATTAGAATACTCTGCGTCAGCCGTTAGCAGGACAGCAAGGTTGATAGCATGCATGGATAGTTGTACCTCGTTATCCAGAGCCATGCATAGAACATGATCTAGCACAACAGCCTCATGTTCTACGATGAGGTTGTCTTTAGCGGGTGCACGATCGAACAGGCCTTTGCGGCGGCCGATTGGGACCGACTAGTTACATGTACGAAGAACAACCACACGGTCTGGGTTATCCAAGGCTTTGTCGGCCAGTGGTACACCGTGAATCATCAGCCAGCTGGTGAATCTCACCTCTTTCACCCTGATTAGTCCACATAACAGCTAGATATTCGGAAACACTGCTTACTATAAGCCACGGCCATGGTGTCTTTGGTGATGATTTAAGCGGTCTTGGGTCAGATATGGAGGGAAAGTATACCGTGTGTAGTCTGAGTGTTGATGTTTGCTTTGGTGGTTAAGAGAAGTTGCGGTTGTGGAGTACATGGAGTATTTATACATCTATCGTGCTGAAGGTGTATGCGTAGGCTTCACGTGAGATTGTATGCATCGAAATCCAAGCCCTTTGTGTTGTCAGGAATATTCGAACAGGATATTGGATCCTTGAACGTGCTATCCGCCGTGTGATTTTGCAGATGTTCTTTCAAGGGCGTAGAATACGCGTCAATGCTCTACTCCTGTGGTCACCGAGCCGCATGCCCTGTCTTTCAGGCCTTTGTTACACCCCTTTTCAAATTAAATCGCTCTGATTTGTTAAGTAGAACCTTCTTAAGCACTCATTCAGTCGCTGTCTCGATGAAAAACTACATGTTTGGGAATCGTGAGGCACCTTCTCTTTTGTCATATGCTTGAGGGCGAGTACAAAGACCTTTTCATTGGGAGGATGAGGATGGCCATCAAAGAGGATCACAAGTGCACGTGAAAGGACTTTGCATTTCGAGATATCAGATTCACCACTTACGGTGGGACAAGTCCTCAAAGAATAAATACAGCAGTTTGTGGGAAGCTTCGCGGCACCCTGCTGCAGGAGTTGCCTTTGTTGCGGATACAAGTCGCTTCACATCATCATCAGCCGTGCTGCCAATTTCTTTCGGCTTATCAGAAGCTTCGGACCAGTTTACCACAAAGCTGTTACATAAAAGGGAAAAGAATTGGTGAAAGGTCTCAAGACGCAACCATCATGGAAATACGGCCATGGCGTCGTGCGGGTCCACGAGCTATTGACACAGGAACGTGAAATCAGAAGCAGAAAACAACGTCAGGCGCGATGCAGGAAGACGGTTGGATTGTCAATACTAGGCCAATCAAGCGAGCCACAATGGGTGGACAACAAACAACCGTTGAGACATACCAATCTCCATGGCTTTCTTGGGAGTAGTGCGTTAAGTTGGTGAGTATCCGTGGTGAAATGAGCTTCACGAACCAATTGGCTATGCAGTCTGCTAAGACTAGAACACCGCGGCCGGACCTGACTGTTGACCTATGGTCAACGGGGAGGTAATAAATGAAGCAAAGATTCCGCCATTCCATGCAGGTGGTCAAATCCAAATGAAGCACACCATAGCCTTGTCATTCTGATACACAATGCCGGGCTTCTTACTACCGATCAGCATGGAAACAGCAAGCATTAGCGTGCATCTTCCACGCTACGTTGATCTTCCGAAACTGAAAATCCTTTTTACCATTGAGATACTGCGGCGTTTGCCGACCCAAGTTGAATTTCCCTATCAACCATATTGCACATTCCTGCTCAGTGATGACTGACTTGTGATGCGGCTTAGTGGATCGGCCAGTTGAGGTAGTATTAACCCGAAAGCTCGCTTGGCAAGCTGAGAGGCTCGACGTGGACACGGAACGTTGGTGCATAGTAGACGACTTTGTAGAGTATGTCAGTAGTAACGTGGAGAGTCGCTATAGGGAGCACGTAAACTTACCGCCTCCCAGTATGGTAGTTTGTCCCAGGCGAAGCTCCATACCGCTACCAACGGAATACCAAATGTCTGGCGTCATTTTAGCGCGGTCAAGCCAGGCGCCCTCCGAGTCTGAGCTTGCGACCGCCATCATCTCGACAGTCTGTGGGAAAAGCCAAGCGGTCAGTGTCACACAGAGATGGGACGGAAAAAGACTGGATATGCTTACGCCGGCAGTACAGGGACGGACGAGAACGTGGGCTGGCGCCACGAGCGGGTTCAAGATGACAAGGTTGGTTTCAGAAGGGCTTTTGCTACCAGTAGCAAATCCAATGAAAGCGCCATATTCCGGGAGGGTGACTCTACGCGCCCCAATATGTTGCGCGCCTTCGACTTGGCTCAGGCCATCGTTCTCCGTTTCGCAAGTCAACTTTAGCTCTTCCGCCAGGTACGGTTAGCGGATGTATTAGGTTATGGAGTCGGCTTGCTTACTACATGACTTAACGCGAGCCATGGCGCTCTTGAGCGAATGAAGAACGTAAGGTGGTGGGTGGATGTTGGGCGAGTTGCGGTGGTGTTGGTAAGAGCTATTGGCTTGGCGGCGGAGCTTGACAGCGACGAGGGTGTGCAGGTGAAGAGAATAAGTGCATGGCAAAGCGCTTCCGAAAGGATGTCCCATTTCCGGGCGCGTGATCGAGCCGGGGCCCGGAGCCGGAACCGCCGGTCTCTCTTCTGCGGCATATCTGTGTTTAAGGCTGCCTTTTTCAGTGACTGTTTTGGCATGACATCATCACCAAAGCCATCGAGAATAATTTTCTGACGCTTTCTAACCCATACTATTATCATGAGATGCTCTGGGAGGAATCGCGCTGAACTCATATCACTGGCAGCCATTGACCATATTCAAATGAGCCATAACACGCTGTGGTATCACCGGTCTGTTCTCTAATTATGATATAAAGCCGCACTAAATGATTGTAGCGAAGCGCTATGACTAGCGATGAGATGGAAATCCAGTTGGCTTTCCCGTGAGGGAGCTCCAGCGCAACAACAGTCGTGTTCAAGGTTTCGGCTCAGTATTGTCCCTCTCATCAAAGAAAGGCGTTCCAAGCTTTAGGCAGAGATTTCTAAACACAGTGAGAGATTAATAGACGTACACCTCCTGCGGTAACGCGGAGATTGTCCTCACTGGGCCCTGCCCGGCCTAAGGAAAGATCTCCAGCTGTTCAGAATGGGGAAATGTGAGAACAGCTTTACGAGTCGGGATATGTTTCTCGTTTTCATAAAGAAGACCGTCTTTCTGGGTGGCGTCTGAGATTAGCCTGAGGCATACCAACGGTTGGTCAGTGGACGGGGGAAAAGAAAAGGGAGAGAAAGAGAGTACAGGAGACTTGCTATACTGCTGCGACATGACACCGTCAAGAATAATCAGTAGAGACCGGGTATATAGAGAAAGGATAGCTAATGTGGTAGGATGGCTCGACGTTATGCACAGGATATATTCGTAAGTCCAAGAGTTACACCATCAAGATTGCTTCTTTAGCTTAACAAATTAATTATTATATACGACCACCGCTGTAGAGCAGCAGATTGCCTAACTTTGTCATGCTACCATGTGTAAAATGCGATGTGAAAGATCTGTTTGAATGCATGGACTATCTGAAGAGGGCATCATGCAATATAATCGCCAAGAGACTTCCCTGTATGTCGCTGAGAGCGTGTCAGATTGTGAGAGGGAAATATTTGAATTACGGAAAGCGCAAAGCCACTACCGACTGATCTGCTAATTGTGCTGTAGCTGACATCTTTCCCTGCGTCTTTGCTGAATAAAGGGACTGTCACCTGGAGAACAGGAACAGTGCTCTGTTTAAATCGAGAGACACCTGTTGAATATATGCAGTCGGCCGTGATAGATTGCAACAGTTGATGGACAGTTGAACAAGTGCATCAGGACAAGGCCTTCTTTGTTGCAACACTCTCGTAAGCGCTAATAATGGTAGCGCCGGGTCGGACCGCTGCGCAACGGCTGAGGCTGATCGGTTTGTGGCAGTGGGGTTTCCGGCGGTGAGGCGAACACCAAGATTCTGCCCAGCCTTGCTTGCCGGAGCCTTTTCCAAAATAAACCGACATGAATTATGCATGATCGGAGCAGAAACGCCCTCACTCACACAACAATCGGTCGCCAGGCAAGCGCATTGTTCACGAGTCCAATCATCCGACGACATGCTATCGCAGACCCTGATCCAAATGTCAAACAACACCAGCACTCGACGTTTTTGGTCGCTTTAGCGGATCACCGTTCGGCTCCACACCACTGATACGAGCAACAGCCGAGTTGGCGGACGTGCCTACTACAAACGGCCGGTCTCGCGACCTTGGCAGGCCAGGGGAGGAAGTACATCTGCAGCGATGCGCACCCCGCCGCCCTCGGTCCCCGCTCCTCCTTGCATTTCTGCAGCATGGCGAACCCCACCACAACCACCCCCGCCGTCGCCGTCGACGTAGACCCCGAGGTATGAAAGCACAACAGTCCGAAAATCACCCCGCTGACGCATTGCCTCGCCTTTCCTCAGTACAACGATGATTCGGACTCGACGCGCGGTACGATCGACGACCAGCTCTCGTCATTCACAGCCTCGGTTACCTCCAGCGTGACCAACTACCCGGTCCAGCACGGCCGCCGCTATCATGCCTACAAGGACGGCGCATACATCCTACCAAATGACGACCGCGAGCAAGACCGCCTCGACATGACGCACGCCATGGCCACCACCCTCATTGGCGATAAGCTGTTCCTCGCCCCGCTGCCGGACGACTTTGCGGGCCGCGTGTTGGACGCTGGGTGCGGGACTGGGATATGGGCCATCGCTATGGGAGACACATTTCCGGACGCCGACATCCGTGGTGTAGACCTGAGTCCGATACAGCCGTCTTGGGTACGTTGGAAATAGTCCCATCGTACTGCCTCTCAAGCCTCTTCTCCCCCCCACTTTACGGGCCTTTCCAGTCCCATTAGGCTTTCTCTCCATCGCTCTCTCCGACATCTCGATGCTAACACCCAGCGCGCGCCTACCCCAGGTCCCCCCGAACGTCCAATTCCAAGTCGACGACATCGAGCGCGACTGGGCCTACGGCGAGCACTTCGACTTCATCTTCACGCGCTACCTCATGTCCTCCATCAGCGACTGGCCGCGGCTGGTGCGCAACGCCTACGCCAACCTCAAGCCCGGCGGCTGGGCCGAGTTCCAGGACTACGACGCCGTCATCTACTCGGACGACGGCTCCTTCAAACCCGAACACGCCTTCCACACCTGGAGCACCACCTTCAACGCCGCCGCCCAGTCCTGGGGCCGCGACCCCTCGCCTGGCCCCAAGCTCGAGCAATGGGTAAAGGATGCGGGGTTCGTGAATGTGCGGCACGAGGTGTTTAAGCTGCCGATTGGCGGATGGCCGAAGGATAAGAGGAAGAAAGAGGCGGGGTTGTTCAATTTGATTCAGGTCTTGGATGGGTTGGAGGGATTTACGATGAGGTTGTTTACGGACTTTCTCGGGTGGAAGGAGGAAGAGGTGAAGGTTTTTGTGGCGAAGGCGAGGGATAATTTGAAAGATAGGAAGATCCACATGATGTATGATTATCATGTGGTTTGGGGACAGAAGCCCGAGAGCAAATGATGGGTGGTTGCGAAGACACGCGGAATGACGACGGCAAGAATCTTCGATGGCGTTTGGGTATGAGATTCGAATGATGAAAGCTCGGAAGAAGAACGAGAGTTGTCGTGGAGTTGTACAAATCCTATCAGCGTACATAATGTTGCAAACTTCTCACCGGCGGCACTTCGTGCCAGGACGTTTGCGGATCCCAGTACTGCTCCGGACATGATCTGGAGATTCTCGAGTTTTATCGTTCGGATACGAGGCGAAGCTTGACCAGGACAGTTCAACAACGAGCTATCTGGTAGACATGACGTCATGAATGGTTACGATGGTTGAACCCTAGTTCATTTTTACCAATAGTCTACTTTTACCCACGGTTCAATTCTCCCTGCAACCACTGCTGCCTTGGTCACGGGCCACATACCTGAGCATAAAACTCTTTCTTTGTCAGAGGTTCCACCTACCGCGCTCCACCATTCCAACCCTCCGCTTGCCGCGTTTAGACACAACATCCCGCAATGGCTGACTCAAATGTTGCTCCAATTCCCGCCCCAAACCTTCCCGCAACGGGAGACTCGAACCCTCCCGAATTGGATACCTCGAAGATGCGTATCGGCAACCTGCTTGCCCAAGGAAAGTCGGCGAGAGTGTATGGCGTTACAATCCCCGACAAACACAACGAAGATGGGCACACCGAAGACAACGATACCTACAAGCCCTATGTTCTGAAGATGGTAACACTCTCTGCTGGCTCACTTTGACCACTTGGCACTCACTAACCATTCCAGCTTCACAACGAGGAAGCATTCATCCGCGAGAAAGCCGCCTACGAGCGCATGGAAGAGATTCCTGCTCTTCTGGACGGCTTCGTACCGCGCTACTACGGAACCGCACAAACCCAGTATTCCAACATCATGCACTCCATCATCCTCAGCGCGCATGATAGCGCGGATGACAGCGCGCATAATGAGATGAAGCTCGAGAACATCATCTCGAATATCGCATTGGAAACGTTACATTATGTCAAGAAACTGTTGACCCAGGCTATTCAGAAACTCCATGAAGCTGGCATCTACCACGGCAAAGTGACATCGAAGAACATCTTCATCTCGGGCCAACAAGGCCATGAGCTGACGTTGATCAACTTCTGCGATGCTACCCTGAAGAAAGACGTCGAAGATTCAGATGTCGAAGAGATGGAGGACATTGATTTGAGCTGCGTGGGGGAGATATTTGATGAGGTGATATGGGCCAAGGTATGCGATGATGTGAGGAATTTGAGATATTAAAACTAACAGATTAAAGGCTCACGAAAAAGTCACCAACCTACTTCGAGATCTACGCAACGGCCACCAAGTTCAGAACCCGCAGTACTGTCTAGCTGAGCTTCTGGATATGATCGGAAGTCCAGACCTGGAGCTTGTCAGATCCATCATAGAGCTGTACACGGTGCCCGATCCTGTCTTGGCCCTCCCTGTTGGCAAATCCCTTGCCAACCGCTACAAACACCGTCAAGCCATCGAGATACTCAAGCAATCGGCCGATACTTTTGAACAGCTGTCCCCTCCTTCAGACCAACAGACTCTCGAGATGGTGACTGTGTCCGAGATGAAGATGGCTGTCGCTCGTTACACCGCCAGAATTAGCCCTGGTTCCAAGGAGGAAAACCTGAAATCCACCAAGAGCCACTACGATGAAGCCATCCGATTCTATCTCCGCTCCATACCTAATGCCAACCTTGCCGATAAGACCGCCATGACGCTGCGCCGCGAGCTCGCGAAATACTACTCCCGCTTCGACTTCTACAAAGACGCGATGGACCTCTGTATTCAGGCTATGACAGATGCTAATAACGCGGGAAGGGAAGTCTCACTGGACGCCTGGAGGGATTATGGTGAGCTGATCGAGGAAACGAAGAAAACTCTATCGCACTTGATAAATGATATTAAGGAGGACAAGCTGAAGGGAGTCGAGCGTTCGTGGAGGCCTTGGGCAGATCTGCCGACGTTCGAGGAGGCGTACCGCCGTGCGGTAGATGCGAAGGAACTCTGCAATCAACAGTGGGATAGTCACCGCATGACGAAGCTGGCTGCCACGCTTCAGGTAATTCCGTCCACCGGTCAAGGTATGATGTCGGGTCTTCGCAAAGACTCGGTCATCGAAGACTATCTTTGAAGGGTTGGACCTCTTCTTCTCAGTAGACAATAGCTCATTCATTATATAAAATCTCTAGGAGCGTTACCATGGCCAGCCTTCATGGTGGGATCCCGACGAAACCACAGCTCAGCTTCCCTCGTCTGAGCTGCCGCGATAAATACTTGAAGGCCGCTACTTTTCTTGATAATAAAATTATTATTAAATTTATATTAGAAACGACATTTTAGTGGCTGAGGAGATTAAGAACGGCGAATTGTAAAGTTCGTCCTCTTTCTAGGTGGTAGGTCTCTATAGTCTAGCTAAAATCCAACGCTATACTCGTTATATATATACTACTTTAAAGTAAGGCTTTTATATATATAAGCAGATTTCTTTTAGGTTGCTATTATAAAGAGTTAGGGAAAAAAATACTATTCGTTATTAGTTATAGAGGTAAGAGGCTTATTTCTAAGCTCTTCGCAACCTTAAAGTAGATAGAGATAAATAAACGTTAGTCTATTATTCTTAAAGAGAGACTATAAACGAGGTGTACTAATGGAGATATAAGAAAGACCATTACAGTGCGAAACTTAACGAATAAAAGAAGACTATTCTCTGAATCTGCGGAGCGTTAAGCTGTTATTAAGGACTCGTATTAAGAGATATGTGAATAGCTTCTCCGGTCCCTGGGACCTCTTATAGCCGATGGTTAGCGTAATTTTTTTTTCGCTATGTTATAGGTAGTTGAAGTTATCGTCTGGACGTATATGTATAATTATTAATTCGACATTTACGTCCGGACGATAACTTCGATTACCCAGATATGTTATTTTTGTAATGATCTGGGGCATAATTATGCCCGGGGCTTTACTATTCTTCGCGCTAGCCTTCGGCTACGATACCCCCGAGTATATGTTGTATGCTTTTCAATATTCTAACACGCTTAATCTATCCATAATCAGCAATGCGATGTGGATATCTTGACTAAAACTGAAAGCGCTACAGCCGGCGGCCATCTAAAAAATAAGCTATACCAGCTGGAGCAGGTTATCGATTGAGTAAAATCTTAAGAGATCATGCATTGATGTCTAAAGAGAACGGCTGTTTATTAAGACAATGCAGTAAAAGATTTCCATTGTTCATCTCAATTTTTTGGTTCTGAGAGCACCTGACTGGTCACCGACAGTATTCAATCCAGAGCCTCCGGTACGTTGGACGCAAGCCCCATAGATGGAATCGTGTAGGCTCAGAAACGCAATGTGATGTCTAGCGAGCGGGTAAGCGCAAACCATTCGCATCTATCACTGTGCAATGCTTTGTCGTTGGTAGTTAGGCGTCCCAATTGCTGGCGTGAACAGCTGGTCTAATCTGTCCGGTAATATCGAGTTACACTACTCCCGCCTGTGTTACGAGGCAAGCGGCCTAGACTATATTGCCTCGCGAGGCCCTAGCCCGCAGCCAGCCACTGCCAGCGGGATGAACGCGTTGGAATGGTAGTCCATCAGTTCACTCAGCCTGCATGGCCTCTCCAGCCTCTAGCGGCTTCCGGGTTAGCAGGCTCCGTCTTGGCACTCCATGTTTTCTCCCGACCCCAGCCTCCGTACCTCAGCCGACCCTCAGGCTACCAGTGAAGTTGAAAGCTAGTATGTTAGTGGCTGTACTACCACTAGCGGGAGAGACTTGCGACGTTCAACCTTCCTGCACTCGTCCTCAAATGCTCCGAGGTTCTGTAGTCCCCATTGAACCTCTTTGCTGACCTTTTAGGTAGAAGGCCAAGCATCATCACATGCCTGTGCATCTTCATTACAGATCTCGATATACACAGATAATCTCCGCTGACCCAGCGCTGATTTTCTGTTTTATTTCTCGTCTTGATCATGTCATGAGTCGCGGGGAGCGGACTGAAAGGCGACACTATCCCCGCACCCGGCCGGGCTGCATCGACGGGCAAATAGAGCGCGGCTCCGGGCTGCCCATATGCGGGTGCGTGAACGGTTCGGCTGAGACCCTAGCAGGTATGTAGCACCAATCTGCCCCCTATGTTTCAACCCGCTACAGTTGAGCCTTTCACCGGAAGACTCCGACAGACCGGCTGACGGGCGTCGACAAGCGCCCTTCCCCTCTGGCCGTGATAAGACGGACCAAGCGCCGACCCCGGCTCTCCCTCCCCTCCCCTCCCCCTGTGTGACCACGAGCCCTCCTGGTCGCTGATCCCTGGCCACGACCCCGGCCTCTACCCCAAGATGGGCTCGCTGCAGTCGGTACGAAGCAGGGCGGACTGTTGGGCGCAGAACCAACTCCGCAGCGCACCCCCGCCTCACACCCCCTCGTTCGATCGCTAATCCTTGCCATCCCTGACGTGAGAAGCGAGAGCCTGCAGCGGATGCAACCAATAGTCGCTTCCGCGCGCAAGGGGTGAACGATGGCGCCGCCAGCGGCGGGGAGCGCGGCTCGGCTTCGTCGGCTCGCGATGCCGCGCCGGCCTGCAAGTGGGCGGGAACGGTACTTTGGGGTGGATCCGCCTGTTAGCGTTGGGTGATACGTCTTTTTCGAGATCGGGGTTTGTTAGCGGTGTTCCTTGCCGCGAGCTCGGTAGTTGATGTGGGGGGGACTGCTCGTTCGGCCGTCTCTCACATCGTTGGCAGTTCTGACAGCGTGTCGAATGGATTGCTCTACAACACCAAGGGAACATCCGTCACTGGAAAGTATAACTAAGCTCTACGAGGGCAGAACCCACATGGCGCTGGGCCGGACCGTTGACCTACCCTGCATCGTTAGTTTGCTCTTTCGCCCCCAAAAGCCGGTCCGAACCTTAACCATGGACCGGAAGCTTTACGGGATTAACCTTCTTTAGACCATATATACTACATCGCATTGCAGCGGACCGGTCCGGCCCCCTTTTTCCCATTGGATTGGTCTTTGTTGAAACTTTAATTTGATGATTGTATGGAGCAGAGTCTATATCCTTCTTATGTCGACGGGAAGAAGAAAGAAGATAAACGCATACAGAAGGTGCGTCAGGAAGTCCCTCCGAAGCCTCCGGAGCACGCTCCGCTGGTTAAGAGCCGCCTGTTTCGTGACCCAGTGCCAAGAAAGCACGACTGCGGAGCACGGCAACGATAAGCACTCTTGGGCTGTTTTCCGATTATGCGCACCTGGCACACTGTTATCGAAACCAACTCCACCTAAAGTCTACGTTGAAGCTCTTTTTTTTTTTTCGATCACGGTCGTCCTGTGCTAATATCAGCTACCCTCGACGAACACAGGTAATAACATCGAAATTCATTTTATTGAGAACTTCTGAAACGCTTATGCATTCTCATGTGTGTTTATTGAACGAGTAGTAGTTTCCTTCTCACTCGGAGATTCGGTCTCATATTCTCTATGGAAGTCAACGCTCCAGCCAATGTCCGATGACTTCGTTCACGGAACTTGCCTCCACCGCAAGCGAAGACACACCTCGCAAACTCTCTGCTGCGCCAAGCCCAACGGCGGAGGTTGGACACGCACTGCAGTGTCGCCAATAACGCAGCCTCAGATGACGTGGCTTTGGCTTGGCAGTTCTTAGCGGGGTAGAAATGCAGAGCCTGTGGGATGGTGAATAGACTCACCAATAGTCTTTACATATCGGCAATTCCTTCGACTATATGCTTCTCTCGGATTGGTCACCCATGCCCTGCAACTAGCCGTCTCCACTCAACACTTTATTTCCCTTCGTTTTTGAGGTGCTGCTACTGGCTCTGCCACCGGAATCAGAAACGCAAAGAGAAATGATGAACAACTTCATTCTGTGTCACATTGACCCCGACATTGTCCAGAGGGATTTGTACACGGCGGCAAGAGTCATTTTCTGTTAATTAAATGCATAGTAGGATTGGAAATTACTGGCCACTTGTTTGGATGGACGTACGTCAGAATCGCAGTGAACATGGGGAGGCAGAGAAGGTCGTGACGGTCTGCATAATACCTAAGTCCAAGTACTGAATTTACTCATTTGAATGACTGGCTATCTGATTCAGTTACACTCTCAGCTGCATCATCTTCTTTTCGGAATTCAAGTGTTTGTTTACTTTCAACAAAGAGGTAAAATCATTCGATGCCTCTCCCAATCAACGCAAGGCACAAATTGTGAACAGCCAATAAGCTGGTCGGTTGTCTTAGCGCTACGAAAAAGTATACGCAGTGCACTTTGGCAAATTAACTTTCACGGTGCATACGGAGGGTGTAGTTCATAGTTGTGGGAAGTGGGCACGACCCACAGGACAACACGATCGCCTGCTATTTAATGGCGCCACGCTCTAGTGTTTGAACACGTCCAATGTCACAGACACATACCTCCGTCAGCATGTCTCGGACCAGTTTCCGGAATTGCGTTGGCTCATTAACATGCACTGCATGGTTTGGCTAGGCTCCTGTCTCGGACTGTTGGATGGCCTGAGATCATCTCGATGCTGTGGTAAGACAGAGATGCAGTTTCTCTGGCCCATGGACCAATACCGCAAATATTTCAATGCGTGGCACTCTCTTATCTCTATTTCACTGTGCTATGATGAATTGACCGTATTCTGACAATTTTGATAGGCCGCCTCGCAACGGCGGGCATGTCTCCTGGTTATGCTCCGCGCTGAAACAAAGGAATGATCAACAAATGAGGCAACGAGGCAACAAAAAGCGGAGAGAAAGCTGGTGCGACTCGGGAATTGTCGCGTAACAACGAGATCGGAGAAATGGGCGGTGGCCAAGTCTGCATGGATGTGCGGGGCAATGTGCTGTTCGTTACGGCTCATCAGCCGCAAGCCCATCCCCGAGACGATTTTCCGACTGCTATAGCAGAAAGCCGCTGGCAATGGCGTGCAAGTGTAGTAATTATGACGAGGTGAGTTTTCAAACCCTCATCGCACATTTCCATGTTCAAGAGATATGTTTAGTGTATTATAAGTATGGTGAGGACGTGATGTGTTGGGTGAAGTGCTAGTGCGGGAGTCGGCAGGCCGTTGCGACAAGCGATCGAGATGTCATTCACCGTTTCCACGACCATTCCCTGTTCTCTCGACCCCTGTTGCTGCACTCACTTCCTGATAACGCAGTCGATCTGAACAAGGAGTGCTGACGAATCTTGCTCTCGTCCCTGCAACTCGACCATTCAGGCATTTCCCCTTCCCCAACGCCGTTGAGCGGAGCTTGCACCATCTGAAGGCGGAGAATAAGGCGTATGCAAACTACTTTCTTACTCGCATCACACTAGCATGAAGAACTGCGACCACCGGTCCAGGGGACCGAGTCTAGGCCTGTTCTGTTCTGCAATCCTTGGACGCCCTCTGCACGCTAGGTGAGCCTCGCATTTGCCTAATATCGCAGCGCAGGTGACATTGCATCACGCAGAGCTACTTAAGTCTCGGCGGCACACTACGGTATTGAGACCTGGCATTATCCCCCGCCTCTGGGAACCGACAGCATATCTAAGCAGTTTCCGAACCTTCCACCACTTGTTCCGTGTCGCCACGTCCTGCACTTATTCATAGCTGTACCTCGATCACATCTGCAACTCTCCCACAGCTGCACTTCTGCAGCTCCCTCTCCCTCATCGTATCCTCCCTGCTTCCGACGACCCGGCCTTCCACCAGCCCAGCCCCACGAAAGCAGCGAACCACAGCAGACACAACCATGGGCGTCACCCAACACCTACCCAACTCCACAGGCCCGGTTCCAGTCCCCGTGACTATCGTCTCGCCAACCAACTCAGCGTACGCGACGGACCAGTTTCAGGACCATCATATTTGCTACGATCCAGCCTACGTCGCCGCCATCATCGAAATCTGGCGCGCCGAGACTGCTGCTAGCGAGGAGCGCCGGGAGCAGCGCAAAGCGGAACGCAAGGCAGCTAAGCGAGAGCAGCGGGCCCGGTGGGACGAGAGCGAGGAGAGGAAGCGGCTGGTGCGGGAGTCAGCAGAGCGGAAGAAAGTAAGGGCGGAGAGGAAAGAGCGGAGGAGGGAGAGACAAGGTGCAAGGAAGGAGGGGAGGTGGAATGTGCCGGGGGAGCCGGAAGGGGATGAAATGTCGGGACAGATATTAGATCTTCTCGTGGGGTGAGTGTTTCTTTTTGTTCCTTCTTTCCCACTTTATATCTTGCTTCTGGTGTTATCATTTAACGAACTTTGAGGAATGGAACGTAATGGGGGAGAAAACCGTATTCCGGCTTTGATGGTTGACATCCCGTAAAGCTATATGCTGACAATATGTGCGAGCCACAGGCTCGACGTAACGTACTGACCCTGCGATCCCACTGTTTTTGCATGAATGATGCGTTCTGGTAATGAGGAGGGAACTCATCAATCTCGGTGTATGTTTGAATGGGTAATGAATTTTAACGACTTTCAAAAATGGAAATTCTGAAGGAGGGAGTGGGTAGTAGTTACGAGTTTCCGCATGTTCGGCATATGTCATCACTTTTAGATACCAGGTCCAGCGCCTAATTCAAAAAGATCATTTGAGTAGTGAGCAGCTGCCCTTCGACACACAGCGCAGAATTAAATCGCCTCTTTCATGCACCGGAAGAATGTAGGTCGTGCTTTGGTAGAACGAGTTGCTGCGTCAATGCGCCGCATAATCTTTTGGCAATCGCATGACGTTAGTTTTCCCCAGCAGGCATCCCCGGCAAAAGGAAGGGCCAAAGAGGATGATCTGCGTGCAAGACCCTTGTGTGGGATTGCGCCCGGAGATCACCAAGGCTACTGCAAGTGCTCAGCTTTGCAGATACGATAAGTCAAAATGGCGTATAGCGGGCGCGGAAACGGGATTGTGGTCATACAAGGTACGACTAACAGGCCTCCCTTGACCTGCGAATGGACAAACTCGTCATCAAACTGCATACACCCCAGTTGAAATGTGAGATGCGCCCCCTTGCCCATGCATCTGCGCCTCTACCTAGATTGATGCGCGATGCGTGAGCCCAGTTCATGCACGTTGTGAGCAATTCCTCGGTCTAGCCAAACCGATGCGAGCAGATTTAGTGGCGAATGTTCCCCACGGTATATCAGCAGATGTACGTCATGAAGTTTAAAACAAGTACATCTCACAAACAGCAGCAAATGCCCGCTTTGGGATTCTGTTGCCAATAGAATCTGCCGACTCTTTGTTACAAGCAGCTCAGCATAATTTCCTCCGCATAAATGTTCGTCATCTGTGGATGGTGATTGGTTGTTCCTGGTGGCAGTGTACAACGTGAAGGTAATATCGATAGAGGGCGACCGGTCAGTAAGTATATCTGCCAAACAAAGTAAGAAGGCCCGAAACGTCTGCACTAATGTGTAGTACACAAGATTGCATAGTTGGACAAACTACCGTACGCCACCCGGATCTCCGTACATCGCCGCAGCGCTTAGAGCGGCTAATTCCGGACTGATGCTTCCTGTGACCTCCTGGCCTTTTTAGTTTCTTCTCTCTCGCCGGCCGAAGCTATATCTCTATATTTTTCGCGCGCTAAAGCCTCCTGCCGCAATATGCATCGGAGCTAAGTCAATATTGTGCCGTTAGTCGAACGGAACATTTCTCTTAGACCTTGAAGCCTTTGAATAGAAAAACTTGCACACCAGCAAGCTCAAACATATTCCAGCTATGAATATGCTGAGGTCATTGTGAGCATCGCCAGGGGTACTCCTGCTGGCTAAAAGGGCCCTGCTTTGGCTGTCATGGTGGGCATCGGTAGGGACACGGCAATAACCAATCAAAACCTCCGCACGCCGCAACTCCCCGACGACATCTACTAAGCATCATAAAGGCCGCACCCAACTTAGCTGATGGTCGAATTAAATATGAAAGATCTTTGTGAGTTACTTGAATTCATTGCTGTTCTGAAAAAGAACACTTGCTTCAGCTAATGATGTTCTGATAATCTACTCAATTGCTTTTCCGCTCTCTGCCTTTGTCGTTTTTCATTATGAAGCAGCTACACAAGCAGGAACTCACACCTATGCCTAACACCATTGCTCCAGTAGACTCCACAGAGCGCATTCCGTGTCAAGAATTGGATCTTATATGGTCCAAAGCTACTAAGTATTGTTAGCTGTATCAAATACGTCGGAAATGGGAAAGCTTCGGGGTCGGCGGTATTGAGTCCGAGCACAGCCCTCCCCAAGATCCCGACTCAGCACCCACTTCGGTAGGAGAAAGAAAAAATTGAGTAGCAAAGGAAAACGTTGCGGAGCTTGCAGACCATGCAACAGTGAGGAAGAGAGACATCTCAAACAGGAGAATGGTAAGAACGTGGGGCGTCCCCTTGCCCACCCACCGCACGGGCCACCGTCCGTAAAAATTTTGTCTCCTTCTTCAACACCACCCCCTGCAGCAAAACAACAGCCCCTCGGGCAGCAAAAGAAGATGCGTCGGCCGGGAATCGAACCCGGGGCTGATCGAAGCTGAGTGTTGAGCTCCCGGGAGCACTCGTGGAATGAGATGCTCCTGTGAGGACTGCAACTACATGGCAACGATCAATTTTACCACTAAACCACCAACGCTGTAAGCCATTTAACTGCTGTGATGATTGTCTTACGGTCCGGATAGCTTATAGAGTGGTTGATGGGGTCAGAGAGAGGTGGTGGAACGGGAACTCGCCGGATGGTTCCGCAATCAACAGCATTACGAACTACGTATATCAGACAGCATTTAGCTAAACTACACGCTGCTGGATGCCAAAGTACTGCTATGAAGGAATAGATCTCCTCGAATGCACAAGGGGCCAGAATGTGGGTGTGGGCGTAGGAGAGTGAAAACACGTGGGAATTCAGCCTCTCAATGATGGATGCATAGAAAAGTGCAGGACACAATTACGACATCCAGCGGTGCTTCTGATGCCCAATTATTTTGAGGTGACGTTGATTGGTTCCGACCCTGGCTCCTCCATGCTTCGTCCCGCTGCAGCCTTCCTTCTCCAACATCTGACGAACAGAAGGCAGCCACGGAAAAGACATGCAGACCCAATTACATTCTCCCAGCATCGGTAACCGTCCCAAAAAAAAGTAACCTTGGACGTAGCGGGGGAGCGGATAGCTCATGAAGCATTGACCGGGTTTCACGATACGCACTTGTATTACGAAGCATTGGGCAAACTGGACGGGGATGCATGCAGCATCTGAAGGATATGGTTTAATAAATTTCCCATAAACGGCTTCTTGGAATAGGGAAGAACCCGACACATGCAGTAGGAACAGTAGCCCGACGGACAGCACGCGTCTGTGGAACCAGTACGTAGACGTTTCTGGCATCTTTTCGCCGCATGTGATGGGCTAATAGTCTGCATCACGTATATCAATACCAGTTGGCTGCTCAAAAGGAGATTATGAGAATAAGTGACTCTATCTCGATGTTTATTCCACGGTCATGTCTGCCTGTTTGTTAAGCCAATAGGCCATATACAAGTGTTAGCTTCGCACGTGAAATTGTCTTAAAAGACGCTCAAAAAATCTTCCCCCGCTAGTAACACGGAACCTCCTCACAGCCTTGCGGAATTACCCAGTTGGTGATCCTCGCCGCAGACGGCACAAGGTTCCAAGCCTCACTGAAAGCGCATAGAAGTGTACCGAGAAGGCTGCAGTAAAAGGAAAGTGTCCCTACATCTATTCAAGGAAAGCACGTTTAAGCCGCGAGGACATTCACGTGCTTGAAAATTTACTAGCAGTGCTTTTCCTTAAGATCCAGCTTGTTCCCTGACGGTTAATCCGCTAGTGTCATGTTTTCGTTGTTCCATCTGAAAAAGGATCCACCATCATAGGCCAAGTTCTTCAAGCCACATAATGTTCATTGCTGTCTCTCATTTCCGAAAGAAATTCCCCGTTTGCAAGTTTCAGGACAATGTTTCTTGTTACCGCCACCATCGCGGTAAAAACTTTCAGTTTGATCCAGCTTGCCTCCGTCCCGGCAGAAACATACCGATACATAGGGCATATTGATTCCAATCCGTGAGCCACCCTAGTGAAACACAATCCACTACTGTATTTCCATTCCACCAGATATCTTCCAAGTTTTTTGAGTGTCGTTCGTGAACGTCATGGTACCTGAAATTAAATCTGCGGTGTCGGGCCTGTACCCAGTTTTGGCTCAAATCCAAACGCCCAAACCACAAAGACACGGGAGGCCATGGCGGAGACTATCCTACTATCGTTATAGAGCAGTCGCATGGTCAAAGACACAGCAAAGAGCGTTAGGAACTATAGCGTTCCCAGCTTCGCCGTTTCGTCAACGATGACGAGCGCTCACATTTCTACCCAGAAATCAAAGCACATCCCCCGGCCAGACTGATCGGAAGAATGGTGCTGACTCGGCGCATGAAGAGGGCCGTCCAAAACTCTTCCGGGCCGACCACGGAGCACAGCGAGGCAAAGAGGAGGCGTCTGCGGAAGCTGCAGCCACAATATAAGCCAAATGAGTACGATGCAGCAGGAAAGTGCATTCCCTCTGCCTAAAGACGCGCCCACAACCGCCCCATGCACCGCACAGACTGACAGCGTCCCAGGGAATACGGAAAGTAGTCGGAAGCAACACGGTAACGAAGACTTATCCGCCATCAATGCAACCATCGCTGTCGGCCTCGACCCGCGCATCCTCTCGCCACCTCCCGCACCATCCGGGACCACGACCCCAACCGGAGGCTTCGACCACCCCCACCCGCTGCGCTCCAACCCTGTCACGCTCGCAGATCGCGCTCGAGGGATCGCGGCCAACGTCACCCGGTCCTGCGATGAGGTGCTGGGGAGTTTGATACTCGAACTTGGGGAACTGGGGAGAACAGAACTGACGGAGCAAGGGTGGAAGGTGTGTGATGATATGAAGCGCCTGGCCGGCCTGCTGCGCCAGTTTGCGGATATGGAGGAGCGCCGTTTGTGAGGTGTGATGGAGAAGTGGTGGTAGAATGGCAGACCTAAAATTCAGATCGAAGGTCCCTGCTGCTGGGTGTTAGGGAGATTTTCTTTGGTGCTTCTGGTACCAATTTGGATCCAGGATGGATCGGTCCAACATTGAAAAGCAGGGTAATTGGTGGTGACGCGTCAATTGGGACAGTCTTAACAAATTTCGGAGATGTTCAGATGTGTAGTAGTTGGGACAGTTATACGAATAATCATGGGCTCTCACGCGCTAAGTCCTTTCTTCCTGCGAGCACGTTATCCTCTGTGTGCATGGCTCATGCTTTTCCGCTGCTTTCACTCAGAAAGGTCTATTTACTGAAAGCACGAAGTCAAAAGGGAATTTCCACCAAAGGCAAAGGCTGGAATATCCAGGAATACGCAAGTAAAATTCGGAGGCAGAAGAAGAGTTTGAGCGCTGAAAATGAGAGCTGGAAATGAACTCACCAGTGGTTGCCATGCATGAAAGCTAATCCTTCTTCCTTCTCAACTTGGCACGAAATGTATTTGCTATGAGCCATCTCAGTTGGGTAATTTTAGCTTGCAGGCTCACTACAGTCACGAGTGGCAACTCTGCCAAAAATAGCTACAGGAATTTTCTCGGAGAACCAGCTGGCAAGCGAGTACTGAGCCGAGCAGGAGGGAATTAAGGAATACTTCTTTCGTTACGCCTAGGGCTGCGTTTAGGTAAATATGCAACGGCGAGAGAGTCACAGACCGATTCAAGTCCTCATGACCAGCGTGCTTGCGGAAGCAGTGATCATCCGCAATGAAAGTTGCAAATATCCCGCCATATCCGGTGCGCGATCGGGTCCTTGCGTGAGGCTGACAGGACGACTACTACCGGAAACGAATGTATGCCTGACGCCAGGCATGCGGTTGGGCTGCCAAGCTAGCAGTCTGCAGACGCGCGTTAACTGTCACAGCGCAGGCCAACTCAGTCAGGCCATAGCCGCACGTATCTTCAGCGACGGTAGCGATCAGCGCTTCGTGTCGTGCAGGCAAGCGTCCCGGAGGGCGGGCCACCTCCAAACCTGTATTCTTGCAGATTGTCTCCTTCTGTGTGGTAGATGATGGGTTGTGCTGGCAAGGCCAGGCCGGGCGGCAGGCGCCCTTGCAGCTCATCCGTGCAACACGCAGGCATGAGCGTGCGGGCCGGTCCCAGCCGCCACCCGAGACGCTCCCCTATTCCGCATTCCCCACGACAGGGTCTGAAACAGGACAAAGATCTACTTACCTACGCTAGCCTTGGTATGATAAGGTATAGTGGACCCGTTTGCCATGTTCCACGCTCTGCATTGTTGAGAAACAAGAATGGCGGGTGAGGAAACGGGGCTTAGCCTCTGCCAGCAGATTGTGTGCAGGTGACGCCAGGGCTCTGCAGCCGTGTGCCTGGGACATGATGGGCCGATCCTCTTTGGATTGCGTGGCAGCGGGGAGCGAAGTTGAAATGGCTGGTGCGGAGGAACGTGGCACAGCAACGCTGTCCATTTCCAGACTCCTGGTTGACGAGCTTGTAGCACCCACCCTTTCCTCCCCCGCTTCAATCCGCAGGATAGCACAAAGAACATGAGGCTCTTAATCAATTATGGCTCCGCCTACTTAGGCCATGTGATTGATCGCACCCGTTGATCATCCTCTTCCGTGCATGTCAACATACACTTTATGCAGTAGTGATAGGACATATACGCTGTTGATTGGGTACATGGCAATGCGGCTCTTCTATACGGCACCAACTCTGTATCACGAGCGAGCTCGAAGGCGGTGAATGGGGATTGATAGCGGTCTCAAAATATTGCTGGCTTGGTGGCACGATGCATAGCATTTTAGCCGATGCTTTGGGAGATTGGAAATATTTGAAGCACTAGCCCATCACAGGGACAACAGTTCACCGCCCTTTGATTTTCTAAGCGAAGTGCCGTGGAGGGCCCTGCATTCTGCCGTTTTGTATGACGCATGTGAAGGAAACGATTTCGTTTTGCTTGTCATTAATTGTTTGCACAAAGACTAGAACCGCAAGTCTGCCGTGTCTTAGTAAACGCTCTCAGCTTTTTTACTCTTTAACGCATCAGCCCACAATATATTTTTCTTGCCTTCGCATTACATTTTTCAATTGGTATAATCGCCTTTGACGTCATGCCCAAGCGCAAAGCAACTACCGCCAAGGACATTGCGAAGAAGAACAAGGTGGAGACTACGAAGTCGGACACCGAAAAGGCGGAGACCGAGAAGTACTACGAGGCGCGCGGTATCCTTCAAGAGATTACCACACAGTACCTTATCGACTGGGCGCCAGATAGCGATACCGGAGAAGAGTACGATCCTTCATGGGAACCAAAGGAGAACGCCAACCAATTACTCGTCGCCGATTGGAACAAGTTCAAAGAGCAGGAATCACAAAAGAAATCCGCTCGGAAAAAGTCACCGCGAGGAGAGGCGGTCAGTCGGGAAACGAGTGCCACGTGAACAAGCTGTGAAGGCCCTGAAGGCCCAGTGATTTCTTTCAGGTAAGATTCATCATCTACGAACGCCTACTAGCAACCATCCTCTGCGCATTAGCTAAAGACTTTCAGAGCTGACTTTCAGCATTGAAACCCCGTCCATGCTATCGGCAGCTTCAAAGCCATCCGGCCTATCCCTCGCGGCAGATACCTTGGCCTCGCCTCCCTTTCACCTACCATCAAACGAAGAACGCCATGTCTCCCTCAGGACAAAGCATCATAGAACACTCGCATTGAACCCCCGAAATCTTCAAACTGGACAATTTCCGAGATACTCAGCCACTGCTGCTGCGAAAGTTGTCTTGCCAGTACGGTCCCCGCTACTCGCCACTGCAGTTAGTACTATCTCAGGCTGTTCCCTCAATGCCAGCAGTTACCAATCCTGAATCTTACCATCGGATCCTCTTGGCGGCTCCTACAAATACTTACTAATCGCGCTAGGAACAATACTCTTACCGCCTCAACTACAGCGTTCACGCCGGCTTCTCGCACCGGCACTTCTGTAGCCCCTACGCTGCTTTTCTTTTCGGCTCGAACGACACAGGTGTCAGCTTATGGGCAGGCTAGATATCAACACGGTCCTCATCTCGACTGTGCCACGTTCAATCTCTGCAGCGAGTCGTGTATACTCCTCTCGAGGTGCATTGGAGGAACGAAGCGAACGGAGGGTAAGCAGGAGGATCCCTCGTAGGTGAGACTGCTGAGAGGCGTGTCTGTGCCTACAACTGCACCTGACCAGTGCGGAAGTGCACAGGTGTACATGAGGCTGATTCAGGTTGGCTGATGATATACTTTGTTCAGTTCGTTCAGAGATTTACTTGCAGCATTCGGTGGGCCGCGTACCTGACAGCATCAAATCATTAATCACCTGAGCGCCTGGGAGATTTTTGAGGAATTCTTCATACTTCTGTCGTTTTTTATGATAGTGACTGCGCACTTGTGGGTGCCAATTGTTCTTTTTCTTATTTTTGTTCTTGTTATCATTGTGTTTATTACATTATTCGGTTTGTTGTTGTTTTCATTGCCAATCTGTGCTGGTGGATGGGGAGAAAATTAGGATTTGTTCGTCCCTGAGAAACTTTCCCTCGTTATTTTTTTTGTAATTAACAGAACGGTTTAAATTTTTATCACTCTCCTCATCACAGGCTCAGAATCCACCTCACACAGCTAAAGACGAATGTCACACGCTTTTATTTTGACCACCGAGCGGTGAATGCTATTTACGTTTGGGACAGACTGTTCATTAATTGACTGGTTTATACTCGTTCACCATTCGAAGCATATTGGATGATTATGCCGGTCTCAGAATTCCCTACTTTTAATTCCTACTATTGACCATGCAGTTTCCCCTCAAAAGAGGCCATGTACACAGTAAGACCGCGTCGTCGTTTGATACCTGGATTTTCACTTTCCATCTGCAGCGTTACCCCAAACCCCTCCACCGCCGAGCGCAACTCGCTTCATAAACCCTGTTCAAGCCTCTCCACGAGCTCAAAGCCCTAAGAATCCAATCGATCGGGTGCCTAAGTTTAACTTTTCGCTTTGCCCTGTCCCGCCCTGCCCTATCGATGTGCATACGGGAACTGTCCAGGCCATGCAGGTGCAATGCGCCATCACCTGCAGAGGAACCAACAGTAAATGCAAGGGCCAATCCCACCCGCTGGAGGCTGAGACAGGCCTACCTCAGCTTATGGAAGCATGAGTGTGGCCTCCCAAAGCACCACTTTCGGTGTCAACTTGCTCGCTAACTCCATGCGTGGCACCACATTCTGCAATCAGGCAATGAGCCCCTCAGATGCCTTACGGAGTGGAATGAGGAGGCTCCAAGCTCATAAGGCTTGAAGAAGCTGGCGAAGAACCCGTTCCATCTCATTCACTTCAAGAATTTTACAGAAAACCTTCGTAAAGATTCTCATCCACGAACTGTCCAATATGCATGGTTGCATTGGGAAAACAGCTTCCAAGTCCAATGCCAAGGGCAGCGAGCTAGACCAGCTCCGGCGCGGCCACCAGCAGTTCTGCAAATGCGTTCTTCAAGCAAACTCCCAGAACGGATCATCAAACGCTCCTCGATTGTCACCGGTCAACGTCAACAAGAGTCCTGTACTTTCACCAGACAACGAGATTACGAAAATCACGCTCGATGGATAACGAACACACGGGCTGTTCATGATAAATGTACGAGTAACATTCCGCTACTTTACCTTCATATCACTAACGAAGGTGAAGATCCATCCCGCGATGCACACCGAGAAGCCCGGGCAATTCAACAACCCAAGTACGTTATTCACACAACGAACAAACAACACGCAGTCGAGATATGTTGCGACAAAACAAATTGGGTCGGGTAGTAGATATATTGGTGAGGAAAAAGGAGTTTAAGGCTGTTGTTGGTGGCAGTCACGTAATCTGCCGGCGAGAAAGCAAGGGCGCAGTGGTTGGTGCCCCGCATGTTTGAGCACAAAGCTCCACTGCGGCTGCAGGTTTGAACAGGGTGTTTCACCTGGAAGCAAGCATATTCTCTGCCTTGCATCTTTGTACATATCTTCATTCTGGATTTACGATTTCATGAAGGTCACACCGCTACTTTATTCTTTGCTCTGCCGTGACTGGTGGTACATTAACCCGAGATCGTGATATGCCCCTCTAAGCCTTCTGTCACGCTCTCCAAGATCCAGATTTCTCACGGTTCATCCCAAAGGCTTGCTAACAGCTTGCGTTCTCCTGTCCATGGCTCTCTTGCGTGCTGCACAGCATGATTCTGCTTCCAAGTTAGCTAGTGCACCTTCGGCTGTTGTCTCAGAACAAGTAAGCACTTACGTCCAACAACAGTACATCCCCTTTAGTCCAGCTCACGACAGCTCTTGTCTCATTGATAAACTGAACTGCGGAATCAAAATACTCTCTTGGTATCAGCCCGCCATCTCCATAAAAAGCCGGAGGCTGGTACCCGCCATTCCCGTAGATAGGCAAGTGCTTGTATCCCGCATCGGTATTCACATGCGGCGGCAGCAGCGTCCCCGCCGCCAGCGCATTCAAAAACCGCGACACCGTATTATTAAAGAACGACGGCTGCCCCGTTCGCGGATGCGGCCTTACCGCCGGCAAGCGCTGCCACACGCGCAAATCGCCCAGCTCGTTGTCCGCGCTGCGATTCTCCCACGCCCACTCCGCCGTCGGCAGGCGGCGGATCTCAGCCTCGATCTTGGCGCGCGCCGTCTCCGTATCGTCCGTCTCCAGCACGTGCTTGCCGTACGCCTGCAGGACCGAGTTGCCCGGCGAGGCGGTCTGGTCGCGCGACGCGTTGCGGTAGAAGAGCTGGTACTTGACGCCCTTCTTCTCGACTTCCTCGATGAACTCTGGGTGTTTTTCTTTCAGCTGCCGGTACAGCACGACCGAGTTGTTGATGGGCGTCTCGCCGCCGGTGGCAGGGGCGGACGCGCAGAAGAAGAAGACGTAAGCCGGGTAGTGCGGCGACAGGCCGAACTCGTTGTGCGGGTAGATGGGCAGCGTTGGTGGACCCTCGTTGGCGGTTGCGACGTTCGGGGCTAGCACCGTGCGCCGCACTGGGTTGCCGATGTCCTCGTGCGGAACGTAGTTGAAGGCGTGCGCGAAGCGCGAGAAGTCTTCGGCGCTGCTGAGGTTGAGGTGCTGGAAGTAGATGGCGCCGTGCCTGTCCAGTAGCGAGCGGATCTCGCCAGAGGTGGAAAGTCGCTGGATCTCGGAGAGCAGGTCGGCTAACGGCGTGTCTGGCTTCGATGGGGAGAGGGATAGTGGGAAGGTGGTTTGCGGGGGGTACGGGTCTGGCAGATCGACTGCGGGGCCGTATGGTGCGACCTTGAATGCCGAGAGTTCTGGAACAGATACCATTGTTCCCAGAGATCTCCCGCGCAGTTTAAATCTGTGAACCTGTGACAAGAAGGTGCGTCTGTCCTGATGATTCTTCACTCTTTATTATATGTGAGCAGATGTTGTCATCATTCCATTTAAGCACGTCGCGGCGGGGCGAATCACTTGGCTCGGACATAGCTGCCGCAGCCTGACCGTAAGCTCGCTTCTGTTGCGTCTAAAATCCGTCCCGCGTCTTTCTTAACGCTCTCTCAATTATCTGGTTGGACTTTGGCAGTGGTCGTCTCAATGGCCTCATTATTTGCCTGTATCACGCAATTACCCACCCCCACGTTTGCCAACCACGCTTGCGCGAAACAGCTTTCTGGCTCAAAATAGAATATTCGTAGCAGCTTCATGTACTCAAAGGCTCAATAAACCTTCTATTACACTTCAATGTTCTGCCTTTTGGCTTTCGGGCGTATTTCCCCGGCCGCGCTGCATGTTCCAGATGCATCCAGCGCCGGATGATAGAGCTACTGATCCACTCATCAGATAAATATATATCATAGCTCGTTGTTTGTTGCGTCAGACTACTACAGTAATTCTTCACAGTAAATAAAATTTCCGCAGCATTTTAACACTTATTCTTTGTATCATCACTGGATTTATTCATAATAAAGCTATTTGTGAAGATAGTAAGTAGTTGAAATCAGGGAAAGTGACTTTATAAATAACGATCCAATAGTCAAATAGTCAAGCGGCTGGTTTTATATTCCACTGCTAGCTAGTTCGATCCGCAGAGGACCTGGTGGTACTGTTCTCGAAGAAGTATAAACCGATCGTGATAGTAAGTTTCTGTATCACTTCAGCTACAAATCCTTCTTATCCTCTTCTCCTGTGAGAAACTGCGTTACATTTCATCGAACACCTTAATGAAGGCAGGTTTCAGGATGAGGCGGCTGAACTCTGAGTAATAAGTGCGGATTCGAATGTAAACACAAGACAGCGTGTACTTATACTTAACACCAATGACATGGTTCTAAAATTTCTCTTCCTCAGCTGCTTCAGTTCAGTTAAAGCTAATCACCAATGCAGGTGCGAGGAGTCATGCTCCCTATGCTTCCGCATGGCATAAATACCACCAGCCAATCAGAACTTCCGCACGCCGCAGATACCCGGAGGCGCAGTGTTAAGAACGTCTCAACACCGACACCAGTCAACGTTCGTATGATAAGCTGTACTGCTTCATCAATACGACGGCGTGAAATAGTGAGTTCTATACGATGGTGGCATGTTTTGCCTCATTGATTAATTGATTTCGTTTTATGTGGTTCTCTAAAATCTTCCCGACAGTATAACGAGTGAACTAACACGGAGCATACTTGGTGTTGGTGGGGTTAAACTATGCAATATATCACTCACAAGGCAGAGAAGAATGTTCTACATGCTTCAAAGTTCTATAACAATGTCAGCGCGTGTACGCATTTAAACCGTGCTGTCCCTACCGTTGAAACAACAACAACAACAACAACAACAACAACAACAACAACCTTTCCAACAGGGTGCACGACAACCCCGAGACTGACCGAGACTAACCGAACACCAACGTTCACGATGAACACCGACTCGAACAACGGCCTTAACAGGAGGATCCAGTGCTACTGGGACCGCGAACACTTCGTGAACCATGTGCTGGAGCACGACTCTTGCCCTCACGGACGCGACCTGCCGCCCAACGAGCGCCTGTGCACAATCTGCCGCGAAGAGATTCACGACAACAGCACGGTAGCCCGGATCTGCCCCGTCTCGAAGCAGCACGTCTACCACTGGGTCTGCATGTTGCAGTGGCTGGCCACGTGGAACGACGAGCTGGAGGCCTTTGAGCGCAAGTGCCCAACCTGCCGCACCGAGCTCTTCACTCTCACTCCTACGTCATGGGTCGCTGAAGCGCCTGCCGACGCTGTGCTGGAACTGCGCGACAAGATCGCGCAGGGCTGGGAAGATATGATGGTTGCGCGCCGCGTGATGTACAGTAGCTCGCGCTTGGGATTCGTTCGTCGCAGCCACATCTCCGAGTACGAGCCTGACCGTGCTCTTCCGCTGAGGTACGCCTTGGAGGGCGACCACAACCTTGCTACCGTCCTGTGTTGCCTGAACGATCCGGCACAGGTCGAGATCATGCGTGTCGGAGCGTACATGACGGAGGACGAGACTGAGCTGCAGCATCTTCTCGACTTCGTTGACAACCTTCTTGATGCTCTTAGTCTTCCGACCTCAGGTGATTCTAAAATGGAGCACTGAAGCTATGATCGCGAGTTCGGCTAACGACGAGAGTAGAAACGCGGTAAGCAAGGGGGATGGACTGGACTCAAAAAGGAACCAGTGGCAGAAACAAGGGTTATTCCTTAGAGCATAAGAGGAATTGCTATTTTATTGAGAGACTAGACCGTAAAAAAATTTAGAATCTTTGTCAAAATCCAGATAAGCGACCAGACATGGTTACGCCGTGAGTTCAAAAGCAGTACTGAATTTCCAAGGAAACACACCGAGATACGTTCTCCGCTTAATGATATCAAAAGTTAAGAGATCAATATCTGATTATTGAATACTTTGAATTACTATCGTGACAAATGATCTTTTTGAAGTAGTAATCATGGAACAGACATTCCAATTATGGTAGGTATGGTTAAATATATATTGCAGTGTAGGGAGTTCCCAGCCAAGTATAAGCCATAGCGAAGGAACGGAGTAATTCCCAGCCAGAGTCGAGAATATGTTCTCGAATTGTAAGGCCAAGGCCATGGAATTAATTCCACATCCCCTTAGAATTGAGTATTTTGACTGAGTTTTTCCGTGGCCGGTCCAAGATAGCTGAAATACTTGTTCTAAAAATTTGTTGTTCTGTTCGCGAAATGACAAAGATGAGGGTTTCCAATATACATGTATGTACATTGTTTATGAATCTCGTGTTACAAAGAAAGAAAAAAGAAAATTATCGCATTGCTGTATTGCCAGACTTAGCCCCCGAAACATTGTTAATACACAATAGAACTTATCAACGTTAGTCTCTATAGCCCCCTCTTGCAGCCGATGGCTAGCGTGGATTTGTTTTTGCTTATGTCATGGGTAGTTGAAGCTATCGTCCGGACGAGAATGTAGAATGAAAAAATTGGCATTCTCGTCCGGACGATAGCTTCATCCAACTCTAGCATCTACAGTCACACCAGCGAGACTCGAGCGGGTGCGGGAAGTGACTCTGAAGTCTAAAGCTAGCCGACAATCATGGCTTGGTTTTGTCGTTGATGTGATGGGAGATTGGGCTAGGCGGTCGAGACTAATAACATGGGCAACTGCGTCTCGAGAATAATTAACTGGTCTAGGGAAAGCTGGTGCTACATGCGACGCCGGGCGGGAGGATCGCCATACTTGGACAAGTGGAGAGGAAGGTGGCGATGGTGTGGGCGGTATGTTAGTAAGCACTAGAAGATGCGAGGCCAAGGAGTGGATGTGAGGGGAAGGGAGGGGTCGTGTCAGAAGGCGGGGGAAGACTGAGGTCCAGAGGCCGAACGGGGAATTCCCTTCGGGTGGGAAGTCTCATGTTCATCGGCTGTGGCAGACGGCTTCACGCTACCCCAGTCCATCCCAGTCCAGCCGCTGAGCGTCGCCACAGGACACGTCGGACCAGCCCAACTGCACCAGCATGCCATTTTGTAATTGTTTGATGAGACGGCTGAGGCCAACGCGCGCATAGTCGCCTGGCTTGATGTAAACTTCAAACCGAGAAGCATTGGATAGCGAATGCACTGCAGCAAGTATACGCGTCGTGGTTCTATTGTCTGGGGCGATGGCCGCGGCGGTTATGTTTAGCAGCGCTGCGTAGCAGGGATTGTCAAAACGCAATGGGCGCGGAGGATAAAACCGTCGGGAGAAAGGTTGATTTCGTGGATGGCGGGTGTAGCATCTTCCTTCGAAATCTTTAGTACATTAGATGCGACGGAGGACGTGCCGGAGGGCTGGGTGTACGAGAGATTCGAATGGAAAGACTAAGACTAAGTTACGGCGGCACCCACGTGCGCAGGCGTCGATGGGAACCTAGACAGATAGTCGCATGAAGCCACGCGAGGCCTGGTGGGGATCTACAGGGAGCAGTGGCTTAGTGTCGCCCGTGTTGAAAGGGAACAGCTAGCTGAGAAGGCGCGGAAGGCCGTCCTGATTCTCTCATTGAACTAGCGCCTACTCTTTGATAAGTGCAGCCTGGTAATATCAAGTGTATTCCTTCCCAGGTTTTGTTCGCAAAGCACCTTGAACTCGGTATGAAAGCCGCAGTTTAGGGCGGTGACGAATAAGTAAATACAGGCAAGAACCGAGCCGCTCCGCCAAGTGCAGTTTGAAACCGAATCACTGGAGGCGGAGGCGTGGGACAGAGGGAGAAGCGCGAAGATCGGCGCTGGCGGCAGGGATGATATCTTAGCATTGATGGAAAGATGGGCGAGGCGATGAACGGACTCAGCGGCGCAGTTGTGGAGGTGCGGAGATGGAGCTGGCGCGACCGAAGGAATGTTGCCCGCCAGCCCGCGAGCACGCTAGTCCGTATTTGGACAGCTCCCCAGGTGTGCCATAGCTCCATTCCGCCTCCGCAACCAGCTCACAGTTCCCCGCTTAAAACACCACCACATTTGCTGCCATCGAATTGTCCACACCTGTCTCTTGCTATCTTCTCCTTCATCCGCGCTCCCCTTGCCCGTTATAGTGAAGATCACGGCCACCACAAATTGCAAGCCTGATTTCAGTCGCCCCGGTATTTTCTCTCCGGACTCCCTTCTGAATCCACTTGTGCTCTCGCGGATCAATCACAATGGCCTTGATTTTGGCTCGGCTGAGAAATTAGGCGGGCGAAACACCGGGGATGCCGGAGACACTAGGGTGGGCTGAGTGGTTAGCTCTTGCAATTGTAGGACCCAATCGCATCCTCGAATGCAGCGGGAAGTAATGGCAGATCTAGTCCTTCGGTTCCTCTTTTCTTAGGATGTGATGGCTTGGAACACATTCTCCAGACCCTTGATCCATCTTGCTTTTGCGGCGTTGGCACGTTCTTTCCCCTGGCACACGCGGTTCCACTGTGTTGGGTCCGCGTCGGGACGGCCTTCCGCTCCACCCGCCCTTCCAGCCTTCTGCCGTCCTTCAGATTCAAGTTCCCCTACCATGTCTTTCTCACCAGTCCTTCAAATCGTCGCGGCCATGTCTTGATCTTCGTAGCCTTTCGATTGTTTGGCGCTTTGATGTCATTATTGTGCCATCACAGACCGAACCCCGCTTTAAGTAGCCAAGCAGACTCCTCCAAACGCGGATCTCCCGAGTGAGGTTCGCCATGCCAACCGTTTTCACTTCCCACGAGTTCCGCAGGTCTGCCACGACTCGAGCTGACCCCCTGCCGGCACTAACATCACTGCCCCAGGTACTTAGACATCGATCAGCTGCCTCCCCCCTCGCCAGCCTATGCTACCGCCCTCGGTCTCGATCCATCTCTTTCCGACGTCTCGCCGCTATGCGCTTCGCTAGACGCACTGGCTGAAGTCGTGGCCGTCCGCCTTGGTTCGTGACATATTTGGCGTATACTGGCGCATGGCACTGACTCGAGCACGCCACAACAGGGACGTTCGGCGCCTTCATATCGCTCCATGACGGCATTACGCATCGTCTCGTCGCCGGACACTGGTCTTCGACTTCGTGCAGCGATGCACCGTGCTGGTTGGCATCGAAAGACACGGACAAAGATACATGGCTCTGGCTAGCAAACCGGTCGCGCCATTCGGACAATGGTTACTTTGCTGTGCAGCTTGATGAGGACAAGAAGACAGCAAGCCTTGGATGCGTTACTAGCCACCCGCACTTGGCCTACTATGCCGTCGTTCCCATTGTGAGTCGGCATGGCATCGCCATAGGCTCCGTTTTTATCCTTGATGTTGCACACCGGTCCAGCTCGAAACAGCAAGACGGCGATTTGTTGCGTTCAACAGCCAGGAAATGCATGGCCCAGCTAGAGTCTGCACGCGCCGCTTACCTTCGCGACCGCGTCACATCGATCCACGACAAGCTCAAGGTCTTTGTGCGGTCGCGGCAGGTCATCGCCCAGGTCAACGAGGAGCCTACAAACCGCGACCATCGCAATCCCTCCGACGAAGAGTCCGACAGCTCCGACGACGGCCACACACATCCGAACAAGGACCTCGACGACAAGGCGAAGAACTTTGTCCGGTCTGAGCTCCAGCGCGAAAAGTCGGACGAAGAGGTCAACCTTCCTCGCTCTGCTCCACCGCAGTCCGGCCACGAAAAAACTTCGAACAGGAATGAGGGCGGGACAACGTATCGACATGTGTTCTCGCGGGCGGCCGAGTCGCTACGGGCTGGGCTGGATGTCGACGGCGTTGCCTTCTTGGATGGCCTTGTCGGATTTCACGGCTGCACCGTTCCCGTAGCAGAGCCGGAGACGGAGCTGGAGACGGAACTCGCTCAGTCGACCGACAATTGCAGGAGAATGAGTGCGGCTGCGGCACAGCCGGACCCTATTCTTAAGCCCGACGGATCGGATAACGCAGAAAGGACCTTCACCAGCACCGGCTATGAAAGACAGGTGCTGCTTCGTCGTCCGGCTGAATGTCTGGGCATCTCCGTCCACGATGAACGATGGCCAGTCTGGATCAACATCTCTCCGACCACGCTCGGCTTAAAGCACTTAGACGAAAGTCTCCTGCAGAGGCTCCTGGCGAAGTTTCCCAATGGCAAAGTCTGGTATTTTGACAACGAGAGTGGAAAGCCATACACCTTCTCTGATGACGACAGGCTCGTCGTCGCCGACGATGACGATGGCGATGTCGACAAGCTGTCGGCTTCGTTTCCCGGTGTACGTCAGATCCTCTTCGCACCTTTGACTGACCCGACAAGTCTCAAGCGACTGGCGGGATGCGTCGCCTGGACATCACGCATGCGGCCAGTTTTCACCCAATCCGCCGATCTCCCGCTGTTCCGCACTTTTCTTTCCTCCGCCGAGTCTGAGATCTCCAGGGTTGATGCCATTGCCGCTGTGAAACAACAGGAGGCTTTCGTGTCGTCCGTTAGCCACGAGCTTCGGACTCCTTTGCACGGCATCCTCGGAGCAGTCGAATTCCTCAGCGACACGACGCTCGATGACTTTCAGCAGGGGCTGGCCGAATCAATACGCTGTTGTGGAGCAACACTTCACGAGACGCTCAGCAGTGTCCTCTCGTACGCCAAAATCAACCAGTTTGAGCGGAGACGTAACAAGCCGGTGCAACGTGCTATGAAAGAGTCGCCATGGGCTTTGGAAGCCAAGGACGTCGGCCGTCCTGTTGAGGAAGCAGAGGGACTGTACTGTTCAACCAATATCGCCACCTTGTGCGAGGAGGTGGTTGACGTTACATCCAGCGGCTACGCGTATAACAAGTCCGCCAACAGCCTCGCCGAAAACTTGACCATCATTCTGGATATCGATTACCGCAGGCACTGGAATTTTCTGACTGAGCCCGCCGTTCTTCGCCGCATTATGACAAACATTCTTGGAAACGCATTGAAATACACTTCCGCCGGCTTCGTGAAGGTTTCCCTGGCCGTATGCCAAATGGACGAGGAAGTAGGCGGTCCAAACCACCTTGATGGCGTTGACCAGAAGAAAGCGAAGCTGCTCGAAATTTGCGTCACCGACTCAGGCAAGGGTATGTCTGAAGAATTTCTGCAGAGGCGCCTGTTTGCCCCATTTACCCAGGAGGATGCGGTGGCGTCAGAGGGAGTTGGACTTGGTATGTCCATCGTCAAGAGCCTGGTTAGCCTGTTGGGCGGCAGAGTAAATGTCAAGAGCAAACCGGGCGAGGGCAGCACATTCATCGTCATCATTCCGATGGAAGAAGACCAAGATCATTCTCCGACCTCGACTCTCTCTGGAATCCTTGCCGATGCTGTTCCACACATTCGTCAACGGCGTCGGACCGTCGCCTTCCGAGGATTCCATGATATGCTGCAAGATTCCTTGGCCCGATACTTTCGGGAGTGGTACCAGTGGGACGTACTGGAGGACGAACACGCCAGTGATGCAGATGTAGTAATTGTCGACCATGCTGCTTCTGCTTCTGTTAGTAGTCTCCGGAGTAATGGTGCTGTCCTTCTTGGCGTTTTCAAAAATCCTGCTCGCAAGAACAAGGACGACATCTCCGCAGGCCATACAAATGTCGATGTAGCAACCACGCGCCCAATCGGGCCACTCAAACTATCCAAAGCAATCCTAACATGCATAGCTCGCCTCGAGTCAACAAATAAGGCAGAACACTTGTCTAAGATTATGGTTGGGATTGAATCACAAACAAGTATATCTGAGAACGCAGACGACACGGACAAAACAGACAGCAAGCTGCCTTCACCCTGCTCGCCACCCAGTCCATGCTCCATTCCACAGCCGGCTGCAATGCCGGAACATCCAATCGCCATATCACTCCCCATCAGACCTCCCTCGCCGAATCACACAGACCTAGACCGCCAACCCTACCTCTTGATCGTCGAAGACAACGAAGTCAACCTCAAGCTCCTCAAGACTTTCCTCGTCAAGCGCGGCCACAACGACCTGAAAACGGCAGCAAACGGCCAGCTCGCTGTCGACGAAGTGATGAGGCTGAGCGAGGAAAGTCGAGCGTTCGACATCATCTTCATGGGTAAGTTAGCCACCGCCTTCTCACATCCATATATCTCGACCGAGCACACATACTTACAATACTTCCCGCCCCGCCCTTATCTCCCCGTTACTAAGCCACTTTTTAGACATCAGCATGCCCGTCATGGACGGCTTCCAAGCCACCATCGCCATCCGCAGCCTCGAACGTGAATACCGTGGCGGCGCGCGCCCGCCTCTCGCCGCCGCTTGCCCACCAGCGTACATCATCGCCCTTACAGGTCTTGCCAGCGCCCGTGACAGGAAGCGCGCGTACCAGGCTGGGGTGGATCTGGTTCTGACGAAACCGGTCAAGTTTGCTGAGTTATCGAAGGTGCTGGAGAAGTGGAAGAAGGGGGCGTTGGATAGGGTGGAGGAGGAAGAGGGGCAGGAAGAGGAGGATGGGGTGGGGGAAGAGGAGGGTCGGGGTTTTTAGGCTCTTCTCCACAAAGCCCGCAATTATGAGGGATCGAAGACCTGGGTGCTCTCCGCGGTGGAAACCGCAGCAACACCTCGGGGTTGGGAGCCGGACTCTCTGTATATTTCTCTTATAGCAGTTTTAGCTTGCTCGCCTTGATACCCAGACAGTCGTTTGTTTAGTGATATATTTCCGTTTGAACCAATCATATCCCTCATCAATGCTTCCAGCTTCCAGTACACATTCAGCTTACATATATGGCGAAGCTTTTGGTGATACTGTCTTTGTCATGAAAAACTTCAGACCATTTCCAATCCTCTCTATTTACACAGGCCAATATCCCCAGTGGTTGCCGTCCGAAGAGGCGTGATTTCTTTTTTCAATGCGGTCTTTCGTAATCAAGAAGACGCTCGGTCTTCAGTGGCGTCAGCGTGCAGGCCTTACGAGGTCGACAAGGAAGCGTGGCGTTTTTAGAAGGTTACGAAGATTATTCTCGTTGTCCGTTATGTATGCCCCGCTGCGTTGAATCTCAACTCCCTCTGGATCCGCAAGAAATCCCATAAAAATCGTGAGTTTAACATTTCCATGCATAGCAAACTTCAGAGGGCTTAAACGGTCGACCCCAGGCTCATGAAAGCGTCTCTCAATGAAATTGAATCCAACACTGTCAGCAACGTGGATCTGGTGACGAAGAACATCCTCCCAAGCGTCTGAAATTTCCATACGGAGCCTTTCTGCCTCCTCCGAAGTTTGGGTTACCCACGATCCTGGGTATAGCTGGTACAACTCGGTACGGCACGCCGGACAGCTCCGGCAGAACTTCCCGTCGCTCCACGTCGCCAGCCATTGCAGCATGCAAAGCCAGTGGAATACATGCCCATCTGATTTGGGACATATCTTGGCGACTGCACTGGTATCACTTATGGCTCGGGCGCACATGCCGCAATGTCGCTGAGCTGAGCTCAGGTCGCGTCCCCGAGGGCATTTACTGTATTCCATACGATTGGTGATGAACTCCCAGCGGCTCATATAGCCGTCTCCTTGGTCGATGTCGTCCATGTCCAAGTGAATGTTGATTTGTCTTTCCGAGAGTTAGTCGCTTGCAATTCGATGTCAGTTATGAGCTCGTCTGTCGTGTAGTTGAGGTTGGCCCTCGTACTAAGTCATAGGTTTAAATGGATACTGAAGTTGGTTCTGTTGAAGTGCATGGAGCTGGGCGAAACATTTGGATTTGCTTGCTGTGTCTTGAACTATCGGGCTGTTTCTATTCCGCGTCAAGCATTCGTTTCGCTACTTTGATCTTGCATTAGTCTGTGAAGATTGCGCTGGTCTGCTGGGCCTCCTGGGACCATTGTTTAAGAAGTTTGATACGGCATGTTTGGAAAGCAAACGCATCCGGCTTCCATAACGCTTCCGGCTGGCAAGACAGAAGAAGGCAATGCGGGGGTTCTCCCATCTTCCTGGATACAAAGCACCTGCCAGCCACGTCTCAAAGAAGATGTTTTCCCGTCTTGGTTGGGATACTATTGCAATTATCTTCTACAACCTACACAAATACTGCATCTTCTTTCTTTTATGAAAGAAAAGGACCCGAGTTCCTATGGAATTGCTTTCTGCGTGACTTTTATTTTGACACAGATAATTTGAGCCCACGTGCCATTCAAGGTTGCTGGTAGCATCAATTGTGCTGGACTTCCGTACAGACACCATCCGCTCCACGCTGCTGATATTGTTGGAGTGTATTTCTTGCCACTGCCATCTCAGTGACCCCCAATTGGCCGGCAGTCTTCGCGCACATTGGCTCAATCTCAATCTCGACTATGCTGCTCGCAAGCTTTTCCTTCTTCACGTTGATCGGCTTTCCCGATACGGTTAGAGGGACCAAAGCAGGTACGTTTGATACGAGAATTAAGCAGAGGCAGCACCTACCTTTCTGAGTCTACTGTGTACACATCGGAACTCGGCGAAAATGTTCTGCTCCGGCCTCCGTTTGAATGCTGCTGCCTATATTGATTTTCGACTTTAACGACGTCTTGGCCGTGCTCGGCGTTTACCTTGGCCTCTAGAAAACATGCCACTTACTGGAGAAGTTCCTGGTGCCTAGTCTACCGTTATGGTTTGGTTCCTTCGCAAAAGTTCAGGGTCGCCGGAGTCCGATTAAATTTGCTCGAAAATGGTGTTCATGGTGTGTAGGAGTGACGATGTGTTGTCGTATTTATACCTGCACTAGCCCAAATGGGTAGATGCGGAGGCTTGGCCTGAGCTCGCCAACTCAATTCTGGCGTGGTTGGCGGGCGTGCACTGGGTCCGTGCTGCGGAGTCCGCGGCCTCCTCTACTTTACGGACTCCGAAATCCGAATGCAGTAATTCTTTTGCTCGAGAGTCTGAATTCATACCTGAAAGCATTTAAAAAGGCAGTTTGATCTGTTGCTGTTTTAGTCCAACAACACAAATCCAGCACTTCTTCCAATCACTTCATCGCTTCTACTTCACTCAAGATGGTTCGCTCACTGCTTGCTCAGTCCCTGGCACTCGGGGGATTGCTCACCAGCAATATTCCTTTAGCATCAGCGCTTCCTCAGAATGACGGTAGCGCTGCTCTGCAGACTTGCCTGACTGAAGCTGTTGGTGGAGACGCTTCTCGAGCCCAATTCCCATCCGAGGAGAATTTCAGCACTGCGGATGTCAAGCCGTACAATCGACAGTACCAATACACACCATCGGCTGTCATGTATCCCAAGACCGCTACCGAGGTTGGCGACATTGTCAAGTGTGCCTCCAAGTACACCCGCAAAGTCCAAGCTAGGAGCGGCGGACATGATTATGTCAACAAGGGTAAGTTCTCCTTAAATTCTACATCGTTCTCAAGAAGTTGACAAATAACCGTAGGTATCGGAGGCGCGAATGGTGCTGTTGTTGTGGACCTGAAGAATTTCAACCAGCTCTCAGTCAACCAGGACAGCGGCATCGCCACCATCGGCCCCGCCAACGGACTCAAAGCCGTCGTTGAAGGCTTGAACAACAACGGCCAGCTCATGATTCCGCACGGAACTTCGGCTACAGTTGGCATCGGCGGGCATACGCTGATCGGAGGCTTCGGCCCTGTGACGCGCCGAAGCGGTCTGGCATTGGACTCGCTCCGGGAAGTGGAAGTGGTCCTCGCCAACGGCACCGTGACTCGTGCATCTGAGGATACCAACGCCGACCTGTTCTGGGCGATGCGTGGCGCCGGGCAGTCCTTCGGCATCGCCACCTCGTTCGACTTCCAAACCTCGCCGCAACCCGCCGGCAACGTCGTCACCTACCAGTACAACGTCACCAACAGCGACTCCGCCATCCTCGCCGAGACGCTGGCCAGCTGGCAGACGCTGATCTCCGACCCCGACCTGTCCCGCGACCTGTTCACCCTGGCTGTCTACCAGGGCAACACGCTGCTCATCCGCGGCAACTACTGGGGGTCGCGCGCCGACTTCGAGGCCCTGCGCCTGGCCGAGCGCGTGCCCAACATCGACACGTCCGCCCCCGGCACGACGCTGACCGAGTCGTCGTGGATCGACATGTACGAGGACACGTTCCGCTTCACCGACACGCAGCTGCAGGACGCCTTCTTCTACGCGCGCACCGCCGCCGTGACCAAGTCCGACCTGCCGTCGAACGAGACGCTCGCGGCGGTGCTGAAGCAGCTGCACGACGGCGACGCCGGCCACGCCGGGTGGTGGGTGCTGATCGACATCAACGGCGGCGCCGTTGCGGATGTTGCGGTCGATGCGACGGCGTTCCCGCACCGCGACGCGCTGTACTACTTCCAGATTTACGTCTCGAGCACGGAGAAGGAGATTGATGACGCTGGCTTCGGGTTTGTGGATAAGGCGATGGGCTTGCTGCAGGAGGGCGATGCCGCGGCGTCGGAGAGGTATGGCGTGTATCCTGGATACCCCGATGCTCGCCTCAACAACCCGCAGCAGATGTACTGGGGCAGCAACCTCCCGAGGTTGGAGAAGATCAAGGCCGTGCTCGATCCTGAGGATGTGTTCAGCACGGCGCACGGTGTCAAGCCGGCGCGGTCGTAAATTGTTGTATGGGACTAGAGGCAGATGAAGTGAGGGTAGGCACGAAAGAGTGGTGTGGGTATCTAAGGAACAATGTATTTCTCTCGCCTCTCTTCCTTTTCGAATAGAATTTCGCCTTGCTCCATTACGTCTTTTTACACTAAAATCAAGAGAATATCTTCCCTACACATGACCTGCGAGCACAATGAATGTGTTTCTTCTGACTATTGGACATTGAATACTGGATCTGATTCTATGATATAGTACTACTAATATCCATAACTTGCTGGTTGATATTTGATCGGACCGGAATTTATGGTGTCATCATTCTGTCAAATAAGTTAAGCGTCGTGTCTTGATCTGTTTTGTACGGCTCAATATTAGCCCCGATGATGATGGAATTCTTCAGGGATTGCTCCTCAATCATCAATAAGGAAAAGAAACATGAATCTGCGTCTTACAGAAGCCTTGGGTTTTGTTGTAAGCAAAGCATTTGGCAGACGGCATTCCTGCTGGTACTCCATTACGCCTCTACCAATCTCCAGAATTTGGGCCATGAATTCTTTTGTACAGAGTCAGGGCAATCGCCAGTACCTGTTCAGCTCGTGCTTGGCATGTTCGTGTCTAAGCCTGCGAATGGCCGAAGGTGTCCGACTCGTCGGCGGGGCTCGGCAGTGGCGTGTTCCGCAGATAGCCGATAGCCGTGCAAAGACCCCTCAAAATTTCCTCTTCCGGTAATATCATCGCGAGATTACGCTGATTCGCCATCGTGAAACACTTTATTGTGCGTGTTGTTCTCTGTTCGGTAATGTTGCAGCGACACTCAGATGGCGATTCGTACAACCCTTTTGCCTTTTTGTTTAACATTCGGATGCAGGATTATACTCCTTCCGTTGCTACGTCCCAATTATTATAAAAGTCTGGCAGTGCGCCCAAAGTCCATCCACCAGATAATCATCTATTTTTCCAACCGTCATCATGACGACATACGACAAGAATTCATCGCCTGAAATCCTTCGCAGCTTTACCGAACTGCCTTCAACATCTCAAATTCTCTTATTGTCTACTCTATCTGTAAGTGACGCATGTGAGAGCGGTTGAAGCCACTACTGATTATTAATCTAGGTTCTCGTCTTCGTCGCCACCAAGCTACTATACAATATCTATTTCCATCCTCTGGCCAAATTCCCCGGCCCGAAGCATGCAGCAGCCACAGACCTCGTATATTGGTACCACTGGTGCACTGGCAGTGTGCATACATACATTGAGGATGTCCATGCACAGTACGGCGAAATCGTTCGGATAACGCCGTACCGACTCAGCTTCATCGATCCGCAAGCATGGAAGGACATCTACGGCCACAAGACAGCGGCGAAGAAGGGCCATCTCCACAAAGAGCCCAACTTCTACCAGCCCGACTACAACGGCCGCGACTCCGTCCTGACGAAGCGAGACGACCACGAGCACAGCCGCGTGCGCAAGATCTTCACCAACGCCTTCTCCGACCGCGCGCTCAAAGCCCAGGAGCCCATCCTCAAGCAATACATCGACAAGTTCATCGACATCATCCGGCACAGCGCTGTCGAGAAGCCAGGCACTCCCATTGACACGGTCAAGCTCCTCAACTGCCTCACCTTCGACGTCATCGGCGACCTGGCCTTCGGCGAGAGCCTGGGGCTGCTCGAGACGGCCGAGTACAACGAGTGGCTGTCGACCATCTTCGGCGGCATCAAGAACCTCGCCGCGACGACCTTTTTGCTCGAGTACCCGCTGCTCGGCGCCGTGGCCAGCCTCTTCGTGCCCAAGTCGCTCAAGGAGTCGCAGAAGTTTGTGTTCGATTACTGCGCCACCCGCGTCGAGAAGCGCATGGCCAAGGGCGCCGTGACGGAGAAGCCGGATTTCTGGAGCTTGGCGCTGGCGCAGCACGATAAGGGCGCGCTCGACCTCGAGGATATGAAGGCGAATGCGGGGTTGTTCATGGTCGCTGGCTCCGAGACGACGGCGACGATGCTGTCGGGCTTGTTCTATAACTTGCTGATGAATCCGGACAAGATGAAGAAGCTCGTGGCCGAGGTGCGCGGCGCGTTTGCCAGCGAGGACGAGCTTACGATCGAGAACATCCAAAGCCTGACATACCTGGCAGCTTGCTTCAATGAGTCTTTGAGGGGTATGTGACCTTCTTACTGTAATTTGCACTGAGATGGCTGACAGCTGTTTTAGTCTATCCGTCTGTCCCGCAAGGCCCGCCTCGTGTCATGGAAGCTGGCGGCGGAATTATCAGCGGTCACTTTGTGCCCGAGAATGTACGTCTGAATGACCTTGAATCTGCTCTGCTTTGCCGCTGACCTTCAACACAGACTCGCCTGTCACTGGCGCAATATTCGGCTTATCACTCGCCAACCAATTTCAAAGATCCGCTGTCCTTCATTCCTGAGCGCTGGCTCACCGACGACCCACTCGCAGCCGAGTTCGCAAATGACAGGAAAGACGTCTTGCAACCATTTTCGTACGGCCCAAGAAACTGCATTGGAAAGAAGTAAGCTTTGTCTCACATTTTGCTATAAACGCCGTATCCCAGGCGTACTGGAATGATATTGGTTCAGACCACGGACAAATCACTGACAATCCTGACAGTCTCGCACTACACGAAATGCGCCTCGTTGCTACCAAAGTTCTTTGGAATTTCGACCTCGAGCTTTGCCCCGAGAGCCGTGGTACGTGGCTTCAGCAAAAGATGTACTGGGGCTTATGGGAGAAGCCATCTCTTTGGTTGAAATTTAGCCCAGCAAGGTCTTAATCAGGATATACATAGCATTGGGGCTTGGAGTCAGGAGGGTAAGGTTGAAGATTATTGGTCTCATAGATGGGTGGATAGAGCGGATGACAACACGTCGGCATAGAGGCAGGAGTTAGCGTCCAATCTTTGAAAACTAGTACTTTGAATTGAGAATCATATCTGCGAAAGCCAAATTTGTTGTAAACGCTGTCTGGCGCAAACGGACCCAGGGTCATTTTTGAGGAACATTTTGGAAGCCAAGCCTGAATCCAGCGAGTCATTGATAGGCACAATCAAGGCGCTTTCAGCCCAGAAGATTGTTGTTACTTTGTATAGAGAGGTTAAATTTGAAGTATGGAGGAATATTCATATACGTTGGTATGAAAAGAGAGCATGGCAACACTCCCGTAAAGGCGCGGTGGACCTGCACGTTATAACACCCAGAGTGATCATCTCTGTAATCGTGGCTATGCATTATACAACAACTTTATTAAGAGTGGTTACTGCGGAGGCTTTGGTAGCGCGGACTGGGTGGGGCCGATGTTCGGGCACGCTAACCCATAACCCCCTTTCGGCGCGCACGGTCACTCCTGGATCCATCGCGACACCCCTCTCACCATTTTGACAAGTGATCGGCTGGTGTTGAAGTCCCGTCCACTCAACCCAAAGAACGATGACAGTATCCGCATTCCTCCCACGGGGAGTGTTGTTCGGGGTTTGCAGCATAGTACTACTCGTGTTCTTCCTCATCTTTGATATCACGCCATCGGCGTTGCCCCTGACGGGAACATACGGTTCAAATATTCTTGACCATGCTTCCAACCGCACTCTTGGAGTTAGTGGCTTGACTCGTGACCCTGCACTGCTGCTGACTGTAAACAGTTTCAAAAAATTTTCGTTATCAACCTCCCGTCGCGGACCGACCTCCGCGATTCTATGTCGCTGGCTGCGGCCCTGACCGATTTGGAGATCGAGTACGTGGATGGAGTGTCCGAGGTTGATGAGAAATCACTTCCTCCTGGCGCCAAAGAAACAAATCTTGCCAAGGGAAGTTTGTACGCGTGGAGAGCGCACATGAATGTTCTCAGAATGTAAGTCGTCGAGCTTATCCTACAAATCGAGGCCATACTATTACTTTACCGTGTCTCCTGCTTGAATATTATTTCCATTCCTCATCTGACACTGTTAACTCCTATCAGGATTGTCGAGCAAGGCCTCACATCGGTCCTCGTGCTCGAAAACGACGTCGACTGGGACATCCGCATCAAAAAGCAAATGCACGACTTCGCGCAGGCATCCCAACTCCTACTCCAGCCCCTCAAAGGCACGACCGACCAATTCCTCGACCCGAGCTACCCCGCCCCAGTCTTCTCCAACGAGCTCCCCGTCAACATCGACGTCGCCAAGTACGCCCGCGCCGGCATGACCACCGTCCCCACCACCTCACCCTACGGCGACGTCGACCGCTGGGACGTGCTGTGGGTGGGCCACTGCGGGACGCGCTTCCCCAAAGCGAGCGACGGCAACGCGCTGCTGGGGCGGGCCATTATCGCTGACGACGCGACGGTGCCCGAGCAGCAGCACCTCGACGTCGAGAACGGCGGCTGGAACCTGCTGACCGAGTACCCGGCGCACACGCGCGTCGTGCACCGCGCCCGCGTCAGCACATGCACGCTCGGCTACGGCGTCTCCCAGCCCGGCGCCCGGCGCCTGCTGTACGAGCTCGGACTGCGGAATATGACGGGGACGGCGGATATGATGTTTCGGAGCGTGTGCGATGGTGTGGAGGGGAGGCCGTTGTTGAATTGCTTGACCGTTCAGCCGCAGTTGTTTTCGCATCATCGGCCTGCTGGGGATGCGGCGGCGTTTAGTGATATCAATGATCGTGTGGGGTTCAATGAGCAGGCGTACACTAAGAACGTGAGATGGAGCACGAAGCTGAATTTTGACAGGCTTTTGTATGGCCGGACGGACTACTTGGATCTTTTCAATGACGGAGAACCGCGAAAGGAGTTTGCAGATTAAGGCGATAGAGAACGAAGATGCAATGATAATCTTAAGCTTATGATAAAGCAACATCTATGCAATGAATGCTCAAAACAAAAAGTGATACTACAGATGGAATTTCAACTGTGGTAGCCTGTAACTCTAATTTAGCTTAGGCCAATTTTCCCTGTATCTCTTCCATCCCAGCAAGGCTTCTTCAGTCCGAATGTCCGCCGTTGATGCTGTTGGCTTGGTTCGCTTATTTTCCGAATGGTGGCGCTGCCGACGCTGACAGTGGCATCCGTTCTCTACACAGCTTCTATAGCCTCCTGGTGCATAACAAAAGTGGCATTAATGCAGCATAAGCCGCATAGCGGTTCCAGTGTAGGGAACATGGGTCTCGTCTGACTTTTTGCTGATGGGCTGAGTCATCAGCTCTCGACTACGTTGGCGTATATTGTTGTGGACCCCGCTCGCTAGATATTGCCTCTTCCCCTACTTGCTGCGCCTTTGTGGCTTGCCCGAATGACCTCTTTGCTACACCGCAGGCTTAAACAACTCGTGGTTAAATCAGGATACCCCTTCAGCCACCCGTCCAAGAGGCTTTTCTACCCGACTGAGCCCCACTTACTTAGCACATTCAATTTTCGTTGGTGTTACGGTGGATGCACCGAAGCGCCGCATCTTTGAGGCTCTGATAGGGATACAAAATGTCTTTGAATGATTAGCTCCCTATGCAATTCTTTCCCGGGGATGGAATAAGCATAGTCCGCCATCCCGAGATGCTTCTGTGCCTGGAGACGCTGCTGATAAGTTTCCTTTTCAGCGGGCTGATGCGGGCCAGATTGTGTCGATGCATCCGGCCCGAGGCGCTCTACAGAAACACTGAGCCCATTTTCTTTCCTCTTCCCTTCTTCTTCTATATTCTGTGCGGAGAGCTGAGCTCTGACACAGATCCAGCGACTTGGAAACCTCAATACCACGTGGAATTTAAGATATGCAGGCCTATCACACCGAAGGAATATCGGCCAAGCGAGTTATGGCCGACTACGGACGGTGTATCAACGCCAATGTCAACGCAGTGGGCCACCTGGAATACGGATATTTAGTCATGTTTCAGTATTTGATTTGCAAGATCTATTTGTGCTTGACAGGGTTGGCATGTGAGTTGGGCGGGTGGCTCGAACAAATGGGAAGGGTTGTTTCTGCCATACAGTGTTACTGGATTCCAAATCTACCATCTTGCACTGTCACTTGTAAAACGCATACCTTGGAAGGCCCGTATCACGCCCTCCTCACAGGGCGACCGAACACAGAGGTGTATACCTCGGGAAAATTGTATGCGTGTCTTCCTACTTCAGTAATGCAACCAAAAGCCTCTACTGGGCCGCCGGCTGACTTTGTAGTGCAATGCAGCATTTCGGATCGCATCTGCATCTACTTTCAAGCTGTTCTGAGATCCGTGATGCCGAGAACTCCAATTTGAAACCGGTTTTCGAAAATACACGGGGTATGAAACGAGTTTGCGGACGGTAGTTTCTTCCAGGAGCCGCAAGTTTGCTATTTGATCTTTGTGGAATGGAACGGTCATAGAATGCAACGTGCTTGTCTTAGACACGCCCACAATATAGCCCGGAGGCGTGCGCTTGTTTCTCAAGAATATGTCTGGTCTGCTAATCATCCAATCGTACAAATGTTACACTTAAAGAAAAGAATATTAATCTGACACCTGGAACCATCGACTTGTTCACACAACAGCCGCCAAATTCCCTTTTCAAAATGCCATTTACCCACGATGCAGGCCGATGTGACAGTGTGGTGGATCTCGTGGACCAGGATACGCCTTCGAGACCTCCCGCAGTAGATCATGCTACAGATAGCACAAAGATAATCAGGTATGGATGGCGATTTTGGATCATCTTCGCGGGTCTGGCCCTATCAGCTCTGCTCAGTGGTCTTGAAGGCTCTATAGTGGCAACCGCTTTGCCCACGATTCTATCGGACTTGGGAGTTGGTGAAGACTACGTCTGGGTAATCAATATCTATTTTCTCACAAGGTATGGAGACCCCATCACTGCACCGTACTCGGACTGACAAATGGTTGTCTGCAGCGCGGCCTGCCAGCCACTGTATGGTCAATTGGCAGACCTGTGGGGACGACGATGGCTCATGATTTCTTCAGTAGCCATTTTCACGACTGCCGGGGCCATCTCCGGGACTGCACAAAGTACAGCAATGCTGCTCGTCGGTCGTGGGATCCAGGGCGTAGGCGCTGGCGGAATCAACATGCTTGTCGACCTCATAATCTGCGACTTGGTTCCACTTCGAGATCGAGGGAGCAAAATGGGCATACTATTCGCCCTCATGACCATCGCGTCCGCCATTGGTCCACTGATCGGCGGCGCCCTCGCGGAGCACGGTGCCTGGAGATGGATCTTCTACCTCAACCTGCCCATCGGCGCCTCCGCCCTCCTACTCCTCTTCACCTTCCTGCGCGTCTCCCACAAGCCCAGCCTCACCCCGCGCGCGCAGCTCCGCCACATCGACCTCATCGGCAACACCATCCTCATCGCCTCCACCACCCTAACCCAATACGCCCTGACCTACGCCGGCTCGCGCTACGCCTGGAACGACCCGCACACCACCATCCCCCTCGCCACCGGCCTGACCGCCCTCCTCATCCTCTTCCCCCTCTTCGAACGTAGCAGCAGCAGCAGCCCGCGCCTCTGCCCGCACCCGGTGATCCCGCCGCACGTGCTCGGCAACCGCACGTCCGCCGCCGCCTTCTTCGTCACCTTCAACCACGCCGTGCTGGCCGTCTGGATCACGTACTTCTTCCCCTTGTACTTCCAGGCCGTGCTGGGCGCCACGCCGCAGCGCTCCGGCGTGCAGCTGCTGCCGCTCGTCTTCGTCTTCCCGGCCGTCGCGGCGGCAGTCGGCGTGTTGATTGCGCGGACGGGGCGGTTTCGTCCCGCGCATTTTGGCGGGCTGGCTGTGCTGGGGGTGGGGGTGGGGTGCTGCTCGCTGCTCGGTGGTGCTGGAGATGGTGACTGGCCGTGGATCGTCCTGCAGATGCTGGTGGCGGCTGGCTTGGGCGCGGTGATGCCGGCGCTGCTGCCGGCGGTGCAGGCTGAGCTGCGCGATGCGGACGCTGCGGCAAGCACGGCGGCGTGGGCGTTTGTGCGTTCGCTCGGGACTGTTTGGGGCGTGGCTATCCCGGCAGCGGTGTTCAATAATCGTTTCCGCGAGCTGCTGGATGAGCGGGTGGATATTGAGCCTGGGGCGAGAGCGGCGCTGAGGGGCGGGAGTGCGTATGAGCATGCGACAAAGGTTTTTGTTGAGTCCTTTCAGAAAGAGGAGACTCGGGCACAGGTTGTTAGTTTGTATGCGGATAGTTTGAAGCGGATGTGGCAGATTGGCGTAGTGTTTGCTGGTCTCTCTTTCTTGGCTGTATTCTTTGAAAGGCCGGTCCTTTTGAGGAAGGAGCTGGAGACTGAATTTGGATTGGAAAGGTCAGAGAAGGGTTTACAAACTGTTGCGGTACCTTCATCACAGGACGAGGCTCGGATGGTTTGATTCGCTACCTGGAACTTGTCAAGACTGGCGCATCAGATCTACTAACGTACATGGATATCATATCTTTGTAGGGACTTGCTTTGTGAACATGCTTCATGTCTAAATCTTATGTTTCCGGGATTATAATATAACTTCATTCTCTTTGAAACCAACCAGATCATATGGTACCAAGTCCAGGTGACTTAAACTCCCTTCCGAATTCATGTGGTTCAAGACAGTTTTTGCAGTCATATTTCAATTGACGTTTGAGCTAACTACCTATTCTATTCCGGTCCAAACCAATCTGTTCCTTTGACATCTTTTCCAAAAAGAAAAAAAAAAAAAACTCAACACCATGCATATCCTGACTAAGACAGTGGGGCGTTCCTCAGCCTGACATAGCAATTTGCGGGTTTGTGGACAACCCCATCGTAAGCCTCGTAGCCAGAAACCTCGTCCGGGCATTTCAATAGTTCGAATGTCCAGAGAATTGTGATCAAAAACGTACGCATCTCCACGTATGCAAGGCGGCGGCCGAAGCAGCCTCGGATACCACCACCAAACGGCATGGACGGGCCCGCTTGTGCGTCGAAGGAAGCATTCTGCAATTTGATATCACCATTCCCAACCGCCCCATCCTTGGTCTCTGTTGCAGCGGATGCGAGCCACCGCTCCGGCTTGAACACCGCCATGTCGTCCTTGTTCCACTCGCGGAACCGCATGTGCCCCTTTTCAGAGGCTTGAGAAGATTGACTGCGCAGCCCCTCATCGATAGAGAAGCTCGGTGAAAACATGCTTGGCCCATTCGCAAGCATGAGGATGGTAGTGCCCTTTGGAACGTGGTGGCCCAGAAGGACAGTGTCCTGGATCGCCTGTCGGTCGACAGCCGGGACGGTGCCTCCGCAACGCAGAATCTCTTCGATGGTTGCGTCGAGGTACGGGATCGAGGCGCGCATGACCTCCTGGCCCTTGGGGAGGCGTTTCTCGTTGACAGCGTCTGGGAAGGACGAGCGCAGCGCGGCCCGGAGCCGGGCTTGCGTCTCGGGGTTGTCGGCGAGGAACTTCACCCCCCAGGAAAGGCTGGTGCTTGTGGTATCATGGCCGGCCACGACGAAGCCGAACACCTTTATCCAATCAGCTTCTGAAGCAGTAGTTTAACAGAAATGTGGGGAACGCTTACCTCATCCTGTAGGGTGGGCGAGAGATATTCGGCATTCCTTCCATCTTTTTGGGCATTCCGTCTCTCGCGGTCGACAATATGGTCCACCGCAGACCGTATCCGCGAGTCATTTTGACCGTCGCTGTCCTGTTCCAGGGTCTTTGCAGCCTTAACCAGCTCCTGGCGGATGACTTCATTCTTGCGTCGGATAGCACCCGCCAGATGCGGCAGTTTCGAGATGACCCACCACTTCCACAGCGGGAGAACCGAGGACTTGATCTGGGTGATGGATTCCGTAATGGCAATCATGGATTGGATGCTTGTAGGTAGCCGTGCTTCTGGGAACACTACCCGGTCCCCATTGCTGGCGAGTTCCTTCATGCCGGCGAGCATCTCCACCTGGAGGCGTGTTGCTTTGTGTTCAAACTGGCTCCCAAAGGAGAATGCAAGAACGGCATCCAAGGCAGCGTTGTGGATGTCCGCAGAAGCAGCAAATGCCTTTTCCGGAGCAAGCCGAGCCTTCTCCGTCCACAGCTTTGTGGCTTCAAGCATGCTGTCGTAGATGGCAGGAGCGGCAACCTTCTCCAGGAAAGATGGCGTCATAAGGTCCTGCAAGATCTTGCGATGTGCCTTCCATTCGGGCCCCGTGCGCATGTGGAGATGAAAGTTCGGAAAGGGTCCAGAGAAAACGGCAACCATATCGGAGGACCGGTCAAACTCTTTGATTCGGTGAAGGAGTATATCTTGAGACTCGCGCATGTCGCTCAGGAGTAGATACGGTTTGCCAAAAGGATGTATGAAGACTTGAGTGAGAGGTGCATTGTGGCGCTGGCTCTGGTGAAGCAGCCAAGTCATAAGGTCTCCTGTTTTGGAGACCTCTGCTACCATGTTTGGAATATCGCCAAGAATGCTTTTGGTGGCCTCGGCGTTGTACGGAATCCCAGGCAGTGGCTTCGGTAGAAGCCAGCAGTATGCGCAGTAAACAGCCAGTATGAAGCCACATAACGCCATAAGCGGCAGCATAGCCGTTTCCCATGATTTGGTGTGGTCTGTAAAGAAATCCATGATTCGTTTCGACACCTTGGTACGCAACAAAAGGTAAAACCAGCTTTGATGGCGGAGTTAGTAGGAATTTTGTCTGGAATAATAATTTTGGGTTTATTCCTTATATATAGTTCTGTATTAGTAGACGGCCTAGTGCTAGCAAGGGGCTAGATTCGACTTCGATCACGGTTCACTAGTTGTTTGCGGCGGCTCTCAAGGTTCCACTTATCCAAAACCTCTTAGCAAATCCCTGGAATTGAAAAAGACGTCCCGAAGATATCTTTTCTCCGTGTTGAACTTTGTTCTCTGTATCACGGCTTACTTCGGCATGCGAAGTGGCTCGAGCGTTGGCATCGCGGCTCACTTCGGCACGCCTTAGCTAGAATGACGCAGTGAAATTCGAAGCATCTGTTCATCTGACAGATGCAGAACTTAATAAAGTAGTTTCACTTCAACTGAGAATCTGAGGGATTTATTCATGTTTCAGCCGCTCCGTCAGCTCTTATTAGTCACGTGTACGGATGATTGAAGGATTCCTCCCTGGCGAGACACCTTCCCTTACTGGGAAATCCCCACGTAGTCTTGGCGCGAAGGCAGCAAAACTGGACTGGTGCCTGAACCAACGCAGCCTTGTAAACCCAAAACCCAGAAACAGATGTCAGTCCATACCTGTCCATCTCAACGTGACCACATCATGGCTTCTTTTCCTGCCCTACCCGAGGAGTTGGTCATCGGCATCTTCAGCTATCTCGCTAAAGAGGATCTGTGCGCATTGCGACTGACGTCGAAACGGTTGGCCACCTCAACATGCCGCAGTCTATTCTCAACTGTGCGGCTGTGTCCTGCTTTTGAGAGCATTGAGAAGTACAATGCCATGCTTGAGCATCCCGACATTAGCAAAGCTGTCCATCATGTGTACCTCAATACAATTGAGGAGGATGCGGTAAGGGCTCAGTCAGCTTAGCCAGTATTCAACTAAACAAATTAGGAGAGAGAAGAGCATTTTCGCGTAGCTTATTTGAGCAACGAATACCGTGAAGCTTTGCAAAGCTTCAACCGATTCCCCAATCTCAAGAGTGCCACCCTTCGTTTCTCAAACAATGCTACCACTGGCCGAACAGTACATGATGAAAGACGGAACGTGGTTCAGTGTTCAAACTGGCCAGAAACCACAGAATTCCGCCAGCGAATTCTTGACCAATTTTTCAGAACCCTTGCAGATGCAGCAGCATCCAATGTTAAGGACATTTCCATCAGGAACATTCAGAACATTAATGACCCAGCGTTGGTTAAAAGCAAACATTTCCAAACTGTGCTATCCAGAATTACTTCCCTTCGCTTATTCATCATCACGGAACATTACGACCCAGGTCTTGAAGAGGATTTTACGCTTCCAGAGTAAGCATTGCACTATTCAAATGGAAGCACCAAACTGATAACGTGCCGCAAAAGACTCTACAACTTCATGGACGAGCTTGTCGAAACCTGGCCCCTGCCCTGCTCCACCAACCTCACCAGCCTCGTCCTCTACAGCGACCAGTACTTCGGCTACATGCCCAAGCTCGACCTCCGCGGCGTGCACTTCCCGCGCCTCCAGACCCTCGCGCTGGGAAACTACATGTTCTCGCACGCATGGCAGCTGGACTGGCTCGCCAGCCACGCGGCCACCCTGCAGCACCTCTACCTCGACGACTGCAGCATCGTGCACTACGCGCTCCTCTACGCCTACCCGGACGCCGAGGGCTACGTCGCCAACCCGCTTCAGCCGCTGCCGGAGCTGCAGCAGCGGCCCGTGATCCGCAACTACTCCTTACGCTGGTCCCATACCTTCGACCGCCTGCGCAGATCGCTGCACCGCCTGAAAACCTTCCGCATGGGCTCCAGCGGGCTCATGGGGTGGCGCCGCCGCCACCGCCGCGGCCAAGAGCCCCTCACTGCGGACCCGTCCGATCCCGCTGTCTACACCAGCCTGCCGCTCGGACTGTTCCCCGACCGCTACTTGCTGTGCCATATGGGCATGGGCCCGAGCTGGTACACGGATCTCGGTACGTTGTCGTGGCCGTGCGAAGACGAGTATGGGACACGCGAAGGGGATGATGAGCTGATGGCGTTTGTGGATCAGTTGGAGGAGGGTGTGTTGGATCGGGAGGATAAGGAGGCGCTGGTGAGGTTGGTGGAGGGGATTGGGCAAGGGGGTGCGGAAGATGTGAAGGGGATGATGGAGAGGGGGTGGGGCTGGCGGAATGAGTCCGTGTACGGACACATATGAAGGTGTCTTGCAGCAAAGGGTATATGATTATAGCTTCTCGCATGAGAGTGGGAGTAGCGGAGATCTAAAGTTGAATTCACATAAAACATCTTTCCACGAGGACAAATAAGGACTCTCTACTATGGAATGGCAGCCCAACCGTGGATGAATCCATGATGCTCGCCTTCCCGCTCTTGGAACAGGTCCGGTTGAGCCATCACATCATCTCCTCCTTCCACCTGGGGCATCAGGCGCGACACCACCGTAGTTGGTAGTTTCTAAATATTGCCGCTGACGTCGGTCTTCCTGCTGGCATCCAAAGCCGCGTATTCAAGCTTCACTCACTTTATGATATGGCGATACTCTGTGGTTAGTCGACAAGCAATTCACTCACTTATGTGTCAGATCCCAGATCACTCATCATCCACCGCGTCATCGATCCTCATGAGTTCCACTCCCACCTGTGGTACTTAGCCCAAATTTCCAACACGTAGGAATTGTCCCCTGTTCAATGACCACAGCTGCTTGAAACAATCCACGGTCCAAAACGACCTGCCAAGACGACTTGTCCGGATCTTGAGTCCGGGCAAGCGTGTCACCAAGGCCATGGACGCAAGGGATGCGCTGCGTTCTTTCCGAGAGTAGCGCGACTAGCGATGGGCATTCTCAGTGGGCCAGGGTCCATCAGAAAACGGTGCAGTGGTCACGATGCATTGGCACGTGCGCTACTTGCAACCAGCTCTTGAACCATGGTGAGAGCTGAAGCCACGGCTCCCCACCTCAAATTGCCTTGCGGCTGAACGCTCAATCCGAATCTTAGATAGCTGCAAGGGGGGTACATGCCCGTGCATTCACATTATATTGGGCTTAAAATGATCTTCCATCCCTTCAATTCTTCTCTGTCGCTTCTGTCTCTTTTCTGATTGACGATTCCTCCTTGAAATACCAATTGTCGCGCAACAGACGAGCTGGCAATGAGTACTTGCTACAATATCGCAGGCCAACCTGACAATAGATATCAGAGATGCAACACCACGAATGGTGCCGCACATTCCGCATGCTGCGCCATCAATAAAACATTTCCGGACATCTGCCTGGATAGTGGGCTTTGTCTTGCGAGTGGCGCCGGGGATATTGGCGCCATCTTCGAAAACGGCTGTACCGACATTCAAGGAACAGATGCTGCATGTCCAAATGCGTGCAGGCAACGTAATATGGCCATTTTCTTCCACGCTGAGATTCATTTCTGGTGTCCGAAAGTAGACAGAAAGCAGAGGGCTAATTCATATTCCACCGCTAGTTCACAACAACTCTACGGTAAAAGCCGCCGAAGTCTTTCGCTGCTTTCACGGCACGTGGTGCTGTCGTCCAGCCAAATCAAACATCAACTGTTGCGATGACAACCCAGAGCTCGTGCATACCCCACAGGTGGGAAACATCACATCTTCGATGCTTGACGCGATCAGGGTCGCCAGCGGCGGCTCATCAACAGGCAGCAATACGACCGATCCCAACCGCGACTCTGATTCAAGAACGGCCGCAGTGGTGGGTGGCGTGCTGGGCGGGGTGCTAGTGGCCGCTCTAATCGGGTTGGCAACGGCGTTATGGCTGTGGCGGCGGGAACGGAGAGAGCGGCGAGCATTACAGCGACAAAGCGTACCTGTAGGCCCTGATTTAGCGAAAGGAGCAGAGGTGGTTTTGGGGGATCACCAAAGTGGATCAGGTCTATTGGAGGCTGATGCGATGCATGAGAGGGTAGAGTTGCCGGGAGCCCACCGGAGAAGATCATCGCACGAGCTTCCAGAGTTGCCGGTGAGCACTTACACGTAAATTACGGCATGAAAGATTGTGGGTGGAAGATGAAGGCCATAGTCAGAACAATGATAGTATCAAAAATCGGACCATCTACTCCACTCTCTCTACATAGCTCACCACTTCCTGCTCACGCTTTCCAGCTTTCACTCGAAACACTGCATCCTGCGCACCAAATGCATCTACAACGGTTCCCTGAATTTCCTTGCTGGCACCCCCTGCCTGAAGAGCATATCCAACTTTCACGTTGAGATGAGAAGGGGATTATGCCGATTTAAGTGGCCGGTATTCGCTATATTGAAGACCATCTGTTGATCATTTAGCATACCGTTGCGGAAAGGGTTGATTGGGGGCCGGGCGTAGTTGTTCTGTTGCGGCGGGCCACTCGTTAACCTACGGCTTATTTACAGAGGGTATTGCAGCCGACGGCTGGCGCGAAATAACATATGTAGGTAGTTGAAGCTATCGTCCGGACGATAGCTTCAACTACCTACA